GTCAGTGCCTCGGGTTCTTGGGAGTGCAGTTCACACATTTTGGGATATTTTCACCATTCTCAGGATAACCGGAAATGGTTGCCACCTTCCAGCACTCAGATATCCCTTGACCTTGATTCCAAATAATTCTTTTTTCATTGGACTGTGACAGTACGATGGTCTATCCCCTTCTCCATGCCTCAGATCCCTCACGATCCCTCCGGTAAAAAAGAAATGAACAACGTTAGTGTGTGTCTGATTTCTGAGATGGGTGCCATGTTTTTCATGTTGTCTTTTCATTTGTGTGCTCTGCCTTATCTCCCCCGCTCTCCGCAGCTGTGGATAGACCCTGCAATGGATCTGTTATCTCTTCAACCCCCGCCCCCCAACCCCCCCCCCCCCCCCCCCCCACACACCCCCCCCCCCCCCCCCAATCTCAGCCCTAATCCTCCGCTGAGGACCCTGACGGACAGTCCCCAGATAAGACCAGAAATATGATCTTTCTGTTTGCTTTTGATGTCACTCACAACAAAGGGCAGTGAGGAATCTTCTGGAATATGCACTATGGCCTTTGGGCCATTCGAAAAGAAACTGCCATTACGTAGCATTATGTGATTCATGTGAGGGAGTTTTTTTTTTTTCCTCTGTTTGTTTACTTCTCCTCCTGGACTGAAGGTGATTGGGAGTTGTGTACTAGCAGTAGCAATTACAGAGTAGTATTTTGCAGTGCAGAGCACCTCTTAAGATGGCACCGTTCATGTGAATGCTTCTCCACTGTACAGCCACTGCGTAATGGCCAAAAAAACGAGCTTTCGGTGGGGAAAGAGGGGGAAAGAGGAAAGGAAACGACTCTCTTCTGACTTGTGCCCACACCGGGGCCTGCCAGTGTCTACGTTTGTGGCCGGGGCTGTCATGACGACGTTTAAATATAAGCGCACTTGTCGGTTTCGACGCGTTACATTCAGTCTCAAGCATCGCTCGTTGAGCATAAATGCTGACAAATTGAGTAAATGGCCGCCTTCGGTATGGAGAGCTTTTCCTGTAGTAACAGCTGGGAGGTATAATTGTCGTTTGTTCCATGATTAGATTGTTGGCAATGGCGTAGCAGTTGAAAGGAGGATTCTGTCAAGATGGGGAATATTACCCAGATAGAGGGCTTGGGTGTATTATTTCACTGAGGCGGTCCTGAGATTATTGAATATTAGCCTGAAGTGGTGAAGGCTGTTGCTGACAGATCAAATCAACAGCCTCCCTACCGCCATGAGTGCTCCATTCTTGGAGATACTACTGTACCTCAGCTTGGAGAACACTGCCTCCTTCTGTTCACTATTGGTACCACAGTTTCTGACTGATGTAGTGAGTACTGCTTAAGCATGTGTATATACATAGTAGCTCAGTTTATTGAAGTCTCAGATTACTTGAACTTTTATCTAAATTGTTGTACACTACATTGAATATGTAGTAACTTTGTCTGTGGCTTTGGGAAATAATAGAAGACATGTCAGCTGTAAATATCCAGGTTCGAGAATCTCACCATAACCAGTGAAGCTGGACTTGAAGTCTTCTTTTGTGCCGTGTCTTCGTATTACATCAGTCTCTGCCTGATCAAAAGTTATGTTGTATTTATTTACTTGTCCTGGAGGGGAAAAATGCATGAGATAAATGAGGTGATGTAGCAATGTAGCAGATTACTCTTCTGTCCAGAATTCTACTCTTTGCATTTGACGTGTAACAAACTAATAACGGTGTTCGCATAATACTTAAGCCCAAAGTAAATCCTAAATGACCGTTCGGAGCGAGGTTGACATTTGCAAAAGCTGATTTTGCAGTTACGCTTGGTAACCACAAGGGGGCGGCTTTGTAATGTGGATTGCTTGAAAAAGGTGTCTGTGTAGAAACTCCCCTGTGTATTCTCCTTACATTATACGTTAAAATGTAACTTTCAACTGCCTCACATGGTTGATATAAGTGTTGGGGGATACACATGACTTGATACATGTATGCATATTTTGTTGCAGTAAATATATAAATAGATCTAAACAGAAACATTAAGATTTTAAATTGGATACACTTCTGTACCAAAGAGTGAGCTGTTTCATACTACTGCTGTGCTAGAAGCATAGCAAATAAAGTCTAGAACAGGGGTCACCAGCATGGTGCCCGTGGGCACCAGGACGCCCCCAAGGACCACATGAGTCGCCCGCGGACCTGTTCTAAAAATACCACAACTCACCAGTGAGCAGCGTCTAAAATTTTATTTTATCCTGTTGCTATTCTTCTTTAATCACATTTGCATTTATATAGATTAAAAAATTTCAAACATGTTTATTATACATGAAGTTTAGATAAGTTTAGGAGGGTGTTTCAAACTGGTAGCCCTTCGTATGGCTCAGTACCCGTGAAGTAGCTCTCAGTTTCAAAAAGATTGGTGACCCCCCTGGTCTACAATATGTGGAAAATATGTGGCGACTTAAATTTACCTAGAATTGTAAAATAGTCTTGCATTCTTATGTAAACGCTGCTGCATAAGGAATAGCAAATATTCTTTAAAAACTACTTTTAAAAGACATGACATTATTAAAACATTAGCTGAACATTACCACTATAGCTGAACATACATATATTTATAAACATCATTCCACCTCCTCCCAAACACGAATTTTGCAGACTTGCATAAATATTTATATTCAGAAGCTTCACGGGTCCATTTTTTTTGGTCTGTTTAAAATTAAGTGTGTAAAGCGGCCCGCATTTGTATGTGTGGTACATAAGCGGGGCATTTTTCATCCAAAGGCCAGAATCCCCTGTGCTGTTCGATTCTCCATCCGTGTGAAACACTCTGCCTGTTGCGTGATGTCTCTCCGCTCTGGGGTGTCGACGTATGAGCGGATGAGGCCTGGCACCAATTAACAGCTCCACTGCCTTCTGTGAGCCTCTGTGAGAGGCTGTTGTCGCAAAGAAGCTTCACAGTTACCCTGTGATGTTTTCTGTAATATGCAGGCTTCCTTTACTAATAGTGCATTTATTTTTAACTCTGTTGAGTGTGATGAATATACAAAGAGCCTGTCTATGGTTGTTTTTTATTGTTACTGTTATTATTATTATTTTTTTATTATTATTATTTTTATTATTATTATTGTTGTTGCATTGTTCAAATTCACACAGAAAAAGATTGTACATTTTGTAGATTAATTTGCACAATACATTACTCAGTGTTGCTATATTTTGCTACCCATAATTTTGTGCATTCATCTATTTTTAGTCATCTGCAGGGATTTGGTAACATATGGTGTTTCACCTGAACTGCTTCTTTTTGGGCCTTGGATGAAGACCAGAGCACCTAAAGGAAACGCCACGTGAACGTGTAGCGAACAAGCTCTGCACTTTAAATGTGAGAGCCAGCGTCACTGCCCGAGTGTGATTCCACAGTCTAGCACTTCATTTATTAAATTGTTCCTCTGTCTATATTATAATACAATGAAGACCTGATTATTAGCAGCAGGGCTAACATTTAAATGCTACACTGGGGGGTCCCATAGTTGCCATAGAGATAGCCACAGTGTTTCACAATGAATTTATCTCGGAATTCCGGAACACATTTGAAAGGAGTTGCCCCATCTCACCTATGGCCCCAAGGAAGCTTGGCTGGCCCTGATTAATTCTATGCAGCTTCCTGTGGAACATGCAGTCCAGCTCACCTAATGACTAATCCCAATTTAACACCAGCTCCGGCTGATGATGTCACCTGGGTTTTATTTATCAATGAGCTGTTCCCACTGGCAATGAACCAGTGTTTTCCACCAAGGGGTGACTGCATGTGATTGCAGAGAGCCGGTCCTACCTAGGGAGGTAAAAATGAAGCCTTTGGGAACCTCTGTTTAGAGTTTGATGCTATTTCCTATAAATATTATGTATGTATGTTATATGTACATATATACATACACGGTATATTTTAGTGATACGTAGGAAGCGTTATGAATTGTTATATGTACACATTATGAGTGGCGACATTGACAAGAATGTGAGATGATGAAAACGTAATTAGTCTCAAGAAACGAAACTGACACTGAAAGGGGTTCGATGAAGATGGTAAATCCATCTGAACAACCGGAACAATCTAATTAGGGCTGAGTCGCGCTCACAGTCACGGCTAACCTAAGACGGTAAACAAGATTAAAATGACAGGTAATTTTTGTAGGTAAGGTATGAGCTGCAGAATAAGTTAGTCATCTTCGTTTAGGAAATGGGTTTCCATATACATTAGCTTTCCATACGTTTGTCTATAGAAAGAGCAAATTACATATAAATCGTTATTGTTAAGAAATACCAGCGTATTATTGCGTCAATGTTGTATTACACTACCAGCAGTGGCTTACTACTGTAAACATGTTTATATTTTAAAGATGTGGTCGCCTTTCTTACCGCAATACTGTCCTGGTTATTGCGTCATTCAACAAGCCGAAGAACTTTGGTCCTTCAGTCCACTGCGATGGAATATATAGCAATATGTATTAAGTAACGCAGTATGTTATCGAATTGCATTCCTACAGAATTACACCTCAGAACATTTGGAAGTGAATGTCAAAATTTGTAGCGATAATTTACATAATATGTTAATTTATATAACACACCCTATCGTATTAGCATAACTCCGGCAACACCAAAGCGAATGGGAATTATTTGTTTATGTGGCCTACCGTTTTAGCTTTTATAACATTAACGATCGGGGGGGGGGAAATAATTTGGCTATAGACAATTCTTCTTTTATATAGGCTAATAATTGGATACAAATAAAATAAATACTTAGCTCATGTTCATTTTCGTTTTCATTTAACAAATGGTTCTTCAAAGGGAATATAAAACATTGACAGTTACAGTCATAAACATCAACACAGCTATTTTTGTTTGTCAGTATTAAAAAAAAACTTACTGTGAAATGAGGATGCGATACGGTCATTAAGGCTCCCTCCTATTGGCCCAGCTGCCTGTCGATCATTGCCCATCTTAAACAGTGGTACAGTCCTCAGAATAATCTGGGTTTGCGGGTTTATCCGATTGCTTTCTCATTGCCGAGGATCTGGTCGGTCCATCCCGACTGATCTCTGCTACTGTCTTGAGGTCGCCGGCGCATCGGACTTTTACAGATAACGGGGACTAAGCAAGCTACCAGTCTATTAGGCTACAGTTTGCTGGAATTTGACTCCTCGACGCCCAGCAGATTATCCACAGCCTCGCCCACAGTCTATCAAGTGATCAATGAAATTATCAATGGGACTGAGTACCGGGCTTTGAGCAGATAACGAAATACCGGCGCCGGTCTCCGGAACTCCAGCATTCGGGAAATCACTGACTTTGACCGAAGAGGCAGAGATGGGGACAGTGCTTTCCATATCGCCATCATCGAGGAAGGGGGGCGTTGTTGATGTTAAGACTGAGGGAGGACACCCTAGTAATGGAAAGACTGAAAAAAGCATCAAGCGACAACCTGTATTGATACCGGCCCTAACATGGAAGCGGCTTGTTGCGGCTTCCACGAAGAAAAAGAGCAATAAGAAAGTAAATCCGACACCCAGCGACCCAGTGGAACATTTAAACAGCGAAAACCTTAAAAAGTCACAGCAGTCGTTCCCGGACCGGAAAGAGTCGCATCGGGATCTGAAGCTGGGCCCGCTTGCGGTACCGGTGCCGACGGTTCCCAACCACAGCGACCCACCCACTCAAACCCAGAGCGGTAAACAGCTTGACTCGGTTATAAAACAGCCTAACCAGCAGTCGATCATCACTCCAAGACGCGTGATTGTCCAGGCATCAACTGGTGAGCTCTTACGGTGTCTTAGTCAGTTCATATGTCGGAGATGCTTCAAACTGAAAGAGCTCAGTCCCAACGAGATTATATTGTGGTTCAGGAACGTGGACCGATCCCTTCTCATACAGGGCTGGCAGGACCAGGGGTTCATCACTCCAGCTAACCTGGTGTTCGTGTACTTGCTATGTAGAGAAGCGGTAACAGATGACATCGATAACGAGTATGAACTTCAAGCCACCTTCCTGACCTGCCTCTACCTAGCTTACTCTTACATGGGCAATGAAATATCTTACCCGCTAAAACCCTTCCTTGTGGAAACCAACAAGGACTCATTCTGGGAACGATCCCTGGAGGTTATTGACAAAATGAGCTTGAAAATGTTGCAAATCAATTCTGATCCACATTTCTTCACCGAAGTATTTCAGGACCTCAAAAACGAAGGAGAATCAATGGGCACAGTCATTAATAATCCGGAGCGTTGAAATGAACTGAGGGAAAAAACGTATTTAGAAATTTAATCGGGATGTATTTCATTCTGTGACTAAATGTAAGGGTAGTTTAAGTTTGAAGTTGAGGAAAAGACGCGGTGGAAAAAAACCTGCACATGAGTCATTGGATCAATACAAATTTGTAGCGTTCATTTCCCTATACGACGTTTTCATGTTTTAATCTTGTAAATACCTCGTGTTACTGTGAATCACAGTACATTGGGAATATGGTGAGGGACAATTAAATACATGCATGTCTAATTATTATTGTACTTTAATTGTAGCTTGCTGGTGGAGAAAATGAGTGTTAGCAAGCAGGCAAATGTTTAAGTGTTTTATTTTGATATTGATTTGTGTGAGAAGCAAGAGGTTTAGAAAAAGCTGTATTATGTTGATGCTGTGGAGCCGTACAGGCTTCTGGCCTTCAACGGACACGTTGCACGTGTATTATTTCTAACCTCATATCTGAACATTGAATGTGATTTTTTCCTTCAGTGGCAAACAAATGTTACTATATCATCATATGTGCCAATTGTTATAGTATAAAACGTGTCGTTTTATATTGTACATTTACACCAATATACATGTATAAAATATACCAGTACGAATGCTGTCTCGTCAACCGAGATAGCATTTGGAATTATCTTTACCAGCTACTTAATTTTGCAAAGGACAAGAAAGAAAACCTGTCATTGAATGTAAATGATACAGTAGTTTTATTATAAGTATGCGGTAGTTACCAGTAAGTTATAACTACTGTTATGATGTTTTAGTTGGATTATTCTAAAATACAGGCTGCATTTGTCGATCTGTGCCAGTATATTTTTACGCAACAGCACAGTGAGATTTATTCTAATAGGTAGTCGAAAAGTACGGTAGACTTCAGAGTAAGGATAATATTTATTCAAGAACTTATTTGATTTCTCTTTTTTAGCGTTGTGTGTTTATGAGGTGCAGTAAAATCTTTAAAATACGTAATGTATGATCAAAGAAAATGAAGTGTTCACGTTATCTTGTAACTTACATATACAAATACATAAACAAACTTGTATTACTTGATTAGCAAAAGCTTGAAACAAATGAAGTTTATGGACCTAAGCCCTGACCTGTTTTTCTATACTTGCGCTGAGCAGTAATATGCTAAATACGCTTCTGAATCCTCTTTTACAAAGTTTCCAACTTCTTAGTTTTACTATACTTTATAACGACTTAGAGTAAAAGGCAACTATTTTCACCTTGTAAAAGTCTTCTACCTGTCAGCCATTTTTGATGATACGCTCATAACATTCAGATCTAAGTAACACAGATCCATTTCTTACCGATGCTTCTCGGTAAAACAAAGCCCACTTTCATATGCAGTCGCTGACCCAGGTGCTGAAACAGACCTTTGGTTCGGCTTTGCTGTACTACAAAGAATGCACCCCAGACCTATGTTTCAGGAGAAATGTTTTTCTTAGCAACCACGAACATTATGTTTTGATCCAGTAACTGCAGTTTCATACCATACCATATGCAACTTCCATGCAGAAGTTATAGCCCAACTACAGTTATGGTTAAAAAGGCTGTTTATCGATATGTGGAACTGGACTGTATTTTGTGTTGAAACCGTAAAATATCTGGTTTCGCTGTGTTTCTTATCTATATTTTTCTGAATACATTGAGGTGCTTTTCTTTGTAAAAGTCATTCGACATCGTGCAGACTTCTCTTCCACCAGAACGTTCTAATAACATGAGAAGTCCTCCCAAATTTGTGAATCGGCAGATGTATCACGTGGTCTGAGTGTTCTTATATTTGATTGGCTAAAATTTGGTGCAGTCTGCTAGAACTGTGATTGTGACGAGGAGCTGCGGAGCCCAGCTGCCAGGTCAGAAGCGTTGCTGCGGGGACGTTCTCTCAGTCTCCATAGTAACCACTACATTTTTAAAAGTTGTTCATCCACAGTAAATGTGAGCTAGACCCTTAGTGCAATACTGCAGATGTTACACTGTAGAACCTGACAGTAACAGACTACTCCATTGGAGGACATTATCCAACATTTCATAGAATGAATTCACTTTTTTTTTTTTGTTGTCTAGCACCAGTCTGAGGAAGAGCAGTAAGTAAGCAATTGCTATCTCTGCAAGATTTAGTGTAGAGGTATTTTTTTTAACCCTTAAAAGATTAAAATATGCATCACACTTGTATTTATGCACTTTAATATTTTAACAATGTATGGACAAATCTGACTTGGCATCAATACCCTAATGGTGACACTGATCAGCAATGCTAATGTCACAGAAACATGATTCTTCACAGATGTATTGACTATGTTACAGAAAACACCGAAACACAGATTTTTCAAAGTTTGATGTTGACAGAAAATTATGGGGAAAGACTTGTGAATCCTACAACAAAATAAAATATACCAAACATTGATTTGTAAGATCCCTGTTTTTTTATATAGTTCACTACATTCTAACACATCTATGGTTATGATATTGAAAAAAGCATAATTTTATTTAAAAAACAACAAGATTCCAATATTCTTTCCTTTTATCATTGACAGGCCTTTGCTTTTTATGCCTGTTTATATGAAGGACTATTTTGATATGTATCAGAGGATATTTCTTCCTATATCCCGATTAATGGATATTGTGTGTAGGGTGACTGTATCCATCAATGACAAAATGATCAAAAATCAGGTCTATCTGACGTGCGTGGCTATTGTTACTGTATTATATTTTTATTTTTATGTAGTTCAGTGTATTTCTTGTATTACTTTTCTACCAACAGGATTTATTTTCCGGTTTATTTTATTGTCTCAAAACCATTTGGATTTATGTTCTGTTACTTTCTGTTCTGTTGCTGCTACCTGCACAAGCAATTACTAACTAATAATCCCTTACCGTTAAATGAACGTCTGAAGCAAAAATCTGTGAAGGTATCTCTTGTCAGGGGAAAGGTGGCTGTAAGTTTATTAAAAAGAGCTGTAGAAAGTCATCATCTAAAAGGGAACCGTCACTTTTGAGATTATCTTTGTTCTTGTTTAATCCCTGAAAGAACAATTAAGTCCTGGAATTCAAGGAAGGACTTCCTTACCCAGTTTCCTGTAAAAAAATAAATAAATAAATAGACCAGCGGAAAGAATGATTCCATGGTGTCACACAAACAATCTGAGATCAGTCGCGTGGTGTCACACTCTGAGATTTGACTGTCATAAAAAAACGTCTCACAAGGTCCCCTGTGTGGTCACGTTCTGGGCGTGATTCAGCTTGTGCCTGTCATAAAACTGTCACACGTGCCTCTGGTGACTTACTGAAGCACCATATAACAGAGGCCACATTGCAAGCTCCCACACCAAGTTTGTCTATGTTCTTATGAACTGGTATGTGCCGTACATCCAAACTGTCATTCCCTCATCTATGTACCATACATCTAAATTGTCTTTCCCTCATCGATGTACTGTACATTTATACCGTCATTCTCTCATCTATATATCGTATATCTATACTGACTATCCCTCATCTATGTACCATACATCTATATCGTCTTTCCCTCATCGATGTACTGTACATTTATACTGTCATTCTCTCATCTATATATCATACATCTATACTGTCATTCTCTCATCTATATATCGTACATCTATACTGTCATTCTCTCATCTATATATCGTACATCTATACTGTCATTCCTTCATCTGTGTACTGTACAATTATACCGTCATTCTCTCATCTGTGTATCGTACATCTATATTGTCATTCTCTCATCTATGTATCATACATCTATATTGTCGTTCACTCATCTATGTGCCATTAATCTATACAGTCATTTCCTTGTCTACGTACAGTACCATACATCTATATGGTCATTGCATCACCAGCATTGATGAAAAACCTTTACGTAGCGTTTGCCAATTCTCAATTTCATAATGTGTTTATGTAAATATAACAATGCAGTCATCCTTATTAAATGAGAATTGTAATACAGTATTCCTGCAGTATAGTTATAATAGCCTTCTAGTATTCCAGATGACACTTAATGCTAGACCAGAGAACTTAACAATAGACTCTAGCTACACATGTTTACTACCTTTGTAGCCTCAAACTGGACTATTACTTGACTGAAAACAAAATGCACCATATTGTAAAACCTCAGAAACTGACTGTAATTATATTGGCAATATATTGTGATTATATTGGTGTTCTGCTGCCGTGACATATAGGCTCAGTGGACACACTGTTGTCTTGCATCTCCTGGGTCCCGCCTACTCAATCCCGCCTTTGCTCAGTATGTGTGGAGGATAAGTGGTTAAAAGATGAATAGATGTTCTCTCGTTGCTTTGATCTGTAACATGAGAGCAGCGATTGAACGTTTACTGTCCTGCTTTAATATATGGGACACTTTTTTAGCCTTTTTTTTATTGATCAAACTATCTATAGTTCATTATTAACATTGGAGTCAGTGTATTAGTGAAAATGATGATAGTCTACCAACTGCAATGTCTATAAAATCATGAAAACACAGTGAGATAACTTCACTTGCATTTCTTTTAGTTGCTGGTTAAACTAGGTGCTCTATAACATGTATTAAAATGGTTTGTTTAAGATATTAGCATAACTATCAATGCGCTATGCCCTCATAATGACCTCTGCCTGTTTCTAGGACAACCACCAGCATCTGAGTTGTAGTCAGCACAGATTCCATATGAATCACTCTCAATTCCTCTCTTTCCACCTGTATCTATTTTGAAAGAGTATTCTTTTAACAGGCAAAAATAAAGAGTAATATTCAATGGACAAGGGAAAATTTACCAAAGCTGATAGAGCTATCAGTCTCGGGGTCACGGAAGAGTTGGCCTGCATGTTTATCCCGCTGGTCATGTGGGCTACAAATCTGGTATTAGCCTGTGGTAATTGAAGTCGTTTTAGAGCATAAGTGTTTACTAATCCGTCTCCCCAGATACTTCCAAAAGTCACAGCCAGCTTTAACATAAAAGGCCTCCGTTATGTAAGGCGGCCTTAATCGTCTTATCCTCCTTTAGATGCCGTTAAATGAGAGAGAGAGAGAGCTGAGCTTGTATGGTTTGCCTTGCAGTTTACAGAGAGGTAACAGGAATGAGGGCAGCTCTCTAGACTTGCGAGATAAGGGTGTGTGGTCAGTTTGTATGCACACAGCATCTGCGAAATGTTACAGTCCATCTCTCTGCTTTTTCAGAAAACAAATGTAAAGTCGCACCCAAAAAACAATATCAATGTGCTTTATTATTATTTTTTTTTTAGAGTGTTTAATTTGTAGTTAATTCTTTGGGTTTAAAATTCACACATTTCAATGTCAGAGAAATCGCTTTGGCTTTTCGTAACTGCAGAGTGGGAGGTACATCTTGTGCTGAAATTTTCGAGATGGCATTAAAAACAGGCGGCTCTTGAAATCCACTGGCATTTGCATAATGGAAGGAGCACTGCATACGCACCAACGTACTATAAAAAGAAGTCTCTTCGCTACATATTAACAAGAATAACAGTTTTGCCTAAGTGACCTACATACATGTATGCCTGGTGCTTTTTTTCCGTCCCATTCTCAGTGGAGGGGAAGCATCACAGTCATCGCTGTTTGCTTTTAACACCTTTCAGCATGGAATTCTGCTTTTCAATGTGATTTTCTTTTACCGTGCACATCATTAAGCTAATGGGAGAATCGTTAGCATCTGTAGCATTTGTAGCGTACACAGTTACCTGATGTTTTATCGTCGAATTGGTTAAATCTAAGGAAACATTTTCGAAGGTTAAAGGTCAAGCTGGAAGGGCTACGGAGGTTTTCAAAGAACCAGGTCCTCGACTTAACGTTGTAGGACGAAGCTTAAAATACCGCCCCATTTTTCCTAAAAAAGGGAACCGTGTCTTACCAGAAAACAAAGCCGAACTAGGGCGAATGTGACGAGCGCTCCCTCAGGTGATGGGCACGCCCCCCTGCGGTTCAGCGTAGGTGAGCCTTAGCAGAGCTTATCGACAGATACTAGCAGAACTGGCGTAGCCGTCCACACAGGCGACACGGCGACCTCTGTGATAATGAGTGTGACTGTTACCAGGAGATCAGCTCTGCCTTCAGAATGTGCTCGACACATTACCGCTATTTGATAAAGGCTTCATCACACTTTCACCAGATAAGGCTTGGACATGTTCAGCCTCTGGGGCCCACTGTGATCTTCGTAATGCTGTTATGGCAACTTTTGTGTCATTTTCGAATGATTCTAACACTTAAGGCTGGTTCTCCTGTCCCTTGTGGAATATCAACTTAAAATGAAGATTTTGTCATAGTTCTAACACTTGTGTTAAGTAACTGCAAATATTGGATAAATGAATTTTTAAAATGTTACATTTTATTTCACTCCATTTACTCTTTTATGGCCAAAAGCTTGTTAAACCCCCAATTCCCGCCTCCCCCCCCCCGAAACCCCCACATATCCAGGACACATTATTGCGTGTAAGTGAATAGTGAATAAATGATGGAGTGGCATATTCGTTATATGTGTCAGCATTTGTTTTGACTTAATATGTCACCACAGTCATTGGATAGTTCTTTGGCCCATGTGTATTCGCTCATTGTCAAACTGCACTTTAGATATGTGTTTTTTTTTTTTGGAATTACAGTATGATTTCATCCGCTTAAATAGCAGTCATTTATACCATTTTGTTGTGGATTCCAAGATAGATTTTGAAAAGCTTTGACGCGTCTCTAACTCTCACTCCTCTGTAAGACAATCTAATGACTGTTCTCACAGCAGTCAGCGCCCCTCCAAGAAGCAGATCTCTCTCTCACAGCTAGGGGGTGCGGCTCATCCTGAGAAAACAGGAATCCTCCCAAAGAACACAAACAGAGTGACATAACTTGGGATCCCGCCAGTAAGAAGGGAACAACAATAGATCCTTCAGCTGGTCTTAGGCTGGAGCTGGAAGGTTTGTTGGCTGCGATCAGTCCTGAAGGTGTGACTGGTGCTAATAGCAGTTTATGTAGGAATAGACCTGATGTTGCCTCTTTTAATCTGTCATCACTTTACGTACTGACACATTTACAGATTATCCCATGTCTGCTTTGTTTGCAGTGCCTTTTGTTTGTCTACCAGACCTACAAATAAAGCTCCAACATAAAGGGACATAACTGCATAATTGTGCAGTAGTAATATTAGGTTCTTGCTTTGTTAGAGGTTGCTCTGTAGCTTCTGCTCCAGTCTTGCTTACACTTGTACCTGGGTATGCACTAGATGCTCAGCCTAACCAGATCAACACATAGCTGACTTCTTGACAGTCAAATGTTCATACTGTGCTATTTGCCAAATAAAGTAAGTACCATATATGTACCATAAATGCACAATGATTATATACAGTCTTGATGCATTGGTATGTTATGTAAGGTTGGAAGTACTAGCTTCCTGAAAGAAATGTTTCCATCAACACAATACATGTCTGGGAGTACCATGTCTCCTGGGAAGTCCTTATGGTAGATACCACTAAAATGTGCATGTGGTGTTCAACCTGTGTGTGTGTGTGTGGATGATGCTTGTATTACATTGTGGAGACAAAATGTACCCCACACTGTGATAAAAACCTGTTTTTTTTACATTGTGGGGACCATTTTTTCAGTCCCCACAAAGATCTGAGAATGCAATCAAAAAAAGTAATAATGCCAAAAGTCTTGTATTTTGTTTGGTTACTTATGGGTAAGGTTAGGGCTGGGTAGGGGTTTAGGTCGTCATGTTGGTATTAGAGTTTTCATCATTTTTCTAAATAGGAATCCATTATACCTTATGATTCAGCCACTATCCTACACACCTTATGTCACTTTCGGGGGAAATGTAAAAATCTGCAAAGCAGGAGCGTTAAGATCTCCTGAGACGCATGGAAACTCCAGCAGCCACAGACTTCAGCAGCTCATTAGCACAGCAGCACTGACACAGTCGTACATGTGCTGGATATAATAACATTTTCCTCCCACCTACGGTGACTTTCCTCATCTTATGTAACCACCCTATTCCATGATCTCATTTGCTTCTGATACACAGGATTAGAAGAGAATCCTTAACCTGTTAAACAACAGCACGAATACATTTGTTAGCATAAAAGTCAGCAGAATGTTTTCTCATATTAGTGAGGTGATTGCATGTTCAGGTGAGACAAGGTCAAGGTCAGGACAGATAATAATACAACACGATTGCAGATTTCCATCATTTTTTATTCATTATATCACTATTATGTCATTCATCTAGTACAAGTTGAATCCTAATACAGCTATAACCCTGATTCATCTTTTCTTTTCATTTTATTTCTTAATACGTATAAAACACCTTTTACAATCCTAATCTTCTTTACAAATACATTGTAACATTTTAGCCATAACAAAGACAATATATTATACATGTGTGTATGTCTATTTTAATATGAATCAATAATACTATTGAATATTTGTCACCCAGATGGCAGTGAATGCAGAGCACGTTAGCCAATCTCAACCAGTCTCAACAGGAAATGGTTTGAAGATGGTTGCTATAGCACCCACCAGTGCCGCTAAATCACTGCATCACTGAGGGACGGGGTGCGGGGGGGGGGTCTGCTTTATGACTGGAAATGAGGGTCATATAAAAGGACAGAATAGCTTTAAAAGTAATATAAGCATTTTAAAACATTTAGCAACATTTCAAGATGATTTCTGCGTGGTTTCTGTTTGAACACAATGGTTTATTTGCAATTTAACAGGACTGATTTTTGATATTTTAAAATAAAATCAATGAGATACTGTATCCATTCTGTGTGCAACATAATCCGTCCATCTGTGCCCATCCAGTAAATGTTTTTGTTTAATGAAATAAATGGCTGTAGCAACTTTACTGTCAAGCAGCATACATTATTAACAAAAGGTACCATCAATATTCAGGATAAAGACTTTGCCAGAACATTTGGAAATGATAATCCCATATAAAATAAGAATGGTTTCTTATTGTCACTTGGCATCCACTTAGAAATATTACCCAGGCTTTCAAAAGATGATATTTGGAAATGAATATCAGTCAGATCAAGAAAGAAAGAGAAGAACCTAAATGAAAACTAACAATTAGTATTGCTCTTGGTGTAGAAGTTTCGTTTTGCGATGATATGAATAATATCCATATATGTAGAAAAACAAATTTAATTTTCTGTTAAACTACTACATGAATCTATAAATGTAGCTTGAAAAATCAAATGAGTAAAATGTATAGTAGCTTTTTTCCCCTGTAATCCCTGTCTTTTGTTCTGCTGTTTCGTTACAATTCGTTACATTACAATGAGACAGTGCTCATTATTTTAACCCCTCTTTTCTGACTCCGTTTTCATATCAAACTATTCATGAGCAAATAGCGCCCCCGTGTGGCTCGAAAAACATTTTTTAGTTTAAAAACGCTTTGAACCGGATAGGCATACCCTGGTCGTCCTGAAACCTGGGAGTTGTAGGTTTCTTAGCAAGATAAGCCCTGGTCTCCTTGCGTATCACCCTCATCTGACGTATAAGAGTGTCGATCGAACATTTTTCTGGCACTAATCAAAACGTACTGAAAATCAACTAGTTTGTGTTACATTAATCAGCACACAGATTCTAAACTGTTTTTTTTACCAGTTATAGAAATAAAAAAAACCTTTAAAGCGACTTAACTGTATAATGAAGCAGCTTCGGTTGTTTGACTTTGGAGGTAAAAACTCAGTAGCAGTGAATTTTTAAAAAATTCTAATTAATGTTAGTTATATTAGGCCTACTTCGCCAAAAATAAAATTAAAGGTTATAAACTCTCATTATAGTTATTTAAAACCAAACTTTATCGAATTTTCTCAAAACTCACAGTAAAAATAATCGTGGATGTTTTAGAAGCATTAAGGATGTTTGCTTTAAAAATATCAGGCCGAGAGGAAATAGTTACCGTAATACCGTAATAAAGTTACATAGCAATTCTAATAATAAAATCGTTTTCGGCTCGTAATCGTGAAAATTACGTTGTCAAGAACAAACGTGTAAGCTAAATGTGTGGTTACCGTGGTATATGTCGTGTATTATAAGATTTCAAACGTACTCAAGTTCATGTCGGACGGTTCTTCGTCTACTCAGGCGTGCAGACATCTTGTTGTGCATTAACCCATGTTTTGAAAAAAAAAAACAAAACCATTTTTTTAAGTATTAAAATTAAAAATGAAAAAAAATCGTGCGTTACACCAGTTACTCATATCATATATTTTATTAAACACAGCGGTAAGAAAACAGAGGAAAAAGTCAACTAATTCCAATCTACAACACCAGGGGGAGCCAAGCGCCTAATCTTGCCGCTTTAATACCATATCAAAAACGCACAGTTGAAGTGCCCTGTAAGGTATTTGGTGATTTAGTTATAATAGTAATAAATAAATTGCACATTGATGAATACTGACTCTGGAAAATATCCAATGACCGAAAGGTATACCTTAATTAAACGCCTTGAATGCACAGCATGTAATCACCTAATTTCGACTGCTACCGTGTGCATAACCACATTATTTGACAAATTTCACAGTTTTTTTATGAAGTGAGAGAAATATGAAGTTTAAAACGTAAAAAGTTCAGTTGTAGTGGTTACTTATATTACTGACATTGTTGATATTGTTAACACAGCTGATGTGAGACGCGGTTACGGTGCTAAACGGTCCTGGAGGTTGCAGGTTATGGCTGTGGTAGAGACTGGGTGGAGAACCGGGCCAGTAGGAGAATCCAGAGGAACCGACGCCTGGCGCCACCAGGTTGAGTTTAGAAATCCCAGAAAATGGAATCGGGGCAAAATTACTCTGAAACTTATAGAGGGTATGTTCAGCAGACGACGGGTGGCACACCTGAGCTAAGCCATGGAAATCAAACTTGTAGGCGTACCGCTTTCCGTGGACCTTTGTCATGATGTTTTTGTCGTAGTAGTATCGGAGAGCGCGGCTGAGTTTGTCGTAGTTCATGTTGGGCTTGCTTTTCCGCTCGCCCCATCTTCTAGCCACCTCGTCGGGGTCAATGAGTTTGAATTCTCCGTTGGTTCCTTCCCAGGCAATGCAGGTTATGTTGGAGCTGTCGGACAAGAGCTCGAGTAGGAACTGCCATAGCTGGATCTGTCCGCTACCTAGTATACACATCATTTGTCCGTGATCAGAAATATTTTCATGAAGATAAAGGAAATGGATTGTGCGCTATGATGATTTAGTCCTAGTCTATAAAAATATAACAAGCTTAAGGCTACGCTATTATTATTATTATTATTATTATTATTATTATTATTTTATTATTATTATTATTAAAGTAGTAGTAGTAGGCTAGTAGTAGTAGTAATAGTATCATCATCGTTTTGGTCATTATTATTATTATTATTATTATTATTATTAATAGTAGTAGTAGTAGTAGTAGTAGAAGTAATATTTGCTTGGTCATAATGTATAATGGAAATGACCATGCGTATCTTCTGAAATATTAGATACCCCAAACATTCTGAAAAGATTTCATTCTTAAATTTGATTCTCCGTCATCTTTTATTTTTAATTTGGCTTGTCTTTTTTATCGTGCATACTCAAACTACACTCCCTAAAATATAAAAATTAGCCAATAAATTACCCGCGGTCCACTCTAGCCTATACTGGGGTTTAAGGGAAAAAATCCCATTACCTGTGTCATGCGTGTCGTGTTAAATTTGTACGAATAGCAAAGCAAATAAAACTACACTCGAGCTTAATTGTAACTAATTGTAAAATTCTTATTATTAGCACAAAATTCATTTTTACATGGAAATTTACACCTAAAGGAATATATAGCAATGCGAAAATGTTTGCGCCTGTGTTTTATCTTGCAGTTTTTGTTTTTAATCCATCATAAATTAGTTTTATTAAATTACAAGAAAATCCCGATTTAGCACACAATTAATTGTATAATTCAATTTTAAAATATTAGATTATTGATGCATAATAGCAACAAAAATATTTATGGGATAATAGTTATGGTTTTCAGTAAAACTGCATAAATTTTATACATAAAATGGCAAACGTGTACGTCTTTTACCTAAAATAATGTGTAATGTTCCCTAATTTCTCCAATATCCCTAATTGCATAAATTAAATTAATACAGCTATCCTTCAATCACTAAATACCAAATAATCAGTTTTCTATTTTTAATAAATAAATCACACAAATTTGTTAACGTGTGTTTTGGTTCGGAAAGTGGAGGTAAATACTGCACAATGCACGCGATCTTACCTTTTTGCACCCCGGTATTAATTGGACTCCATGAAGAAGCTTTTCCTTCTTTCAAAAAATTTTCAGCTGGCTCTGAAATGAACATAATACACATTCATTTTGAAAATGCAGTAACTTGTATGGAAAATACATTAATCCTTGTGATATATATATATATATTTCTCAATAATCTATCACATATAATCTACAGCTTCTGTGAGAAATGTTTCTCAATTATAATAAATCCGTTTCTTTTCTTAAATTAAAATTTTGAATGTTGCGATGTATTTTACGGTATAATAGTTTACATTCCCCCTGTCCGGGTTTTTATGCATTTGTGATTTTTTCGCTAGAACTTCACTGGTTAAGTCAGGAAACGCGTCCAGGAAAAAGGAAATCCGATTTCCGACAAAAGACGAGAGGTGTTCCAACAGTAGATAGAAAAGGCTAAACGATCGTCGGCACGAGGCACTGCCATCACGCGAAGTCTAAATCTGCTTCCTTGGCGTTACAGATATTTAAAGCATAATTTCCGATTTTGCACAAGAACGTCTACCTGAAAGATACATGTTAAACATAAGGTTTCCTCCACAGTTCTGTTTCATTGTAGCTGTTTGATCAGAAAGGGCTCTCTTTCATTCGGGGGGACGATTTTTATTAAACTTTATCTCAAAACTATGATCTGGAATAAATGTGAAACAGATTGAAGTTTCCAGGCAACAGTCTCGAGTCCCATCTCTGAGACAATATTCAGACAGCAATTTCCTTTGCAGCATTGCTTTAATTAAAAGAGCAATTTACCTTTGTCATCCTTCCCTGTCTCCACAATAAAAAGGGGGCCTGATAGAAATTCTGCTTTATCAATCCACTATCGGGGTTTAATAAAGTTTCCGCGTTAAGATCAGAGTTTCTATGGAGCACTGGAGTGTTTGACATGGAAACCCGTTCAGATCCGCTCTCTTTTCCGCCTATTTAACTCTTTGCAAACAAAATCGTCTGCCTATGATTGGAATAGAATATTTACCTTTGCATTCATGCTTCCGCGCATCTTCGACAACAAAGACATTGTACAGTTGGATACCTAATATTTTGCATTTTTGGTAACTACAAATTGTATGTTATTGATTAGAAGCCAGATGGTATACAGACACTAAAATGGATCGATAATTGCAACACCTGTAGATACTGACTTCGCTCAGCAAATTAAAACTATATCCGTGACGTGTTGGCCTATTTCTTCATTTTGCATAAAATGTACATTACGTGACATTAAGATATTTACATTGCGTATTGTAGTTTGTCCAGAACTTCAACATCGGCAGTAAATATGTAGGGCCTGTATTTTCTCGCAGGTTGGTTTACAATCCTACTAGTAAAAAATAAACCGTTACTTATGTGTTAGTTAGATTATCCATAACATATATATGCCTAGATGCCTGTATATAGGCCAGATCAATCTTCAGACGGTTTTTTGTGTTGATGTCATTAACGTAAAACAATGGTTCCTTTTGGCAGGATCCTTTAAAATTAAACTGAATGTGAATTTCGTCTCAGTTGGTTTTGAGAAGTTAGCGCTAAATGATGAAATAACTGTTTCTTTCTAACACTGCCATAGCATGTAAGGGCTGATGTGGTGAGAGCTAAACTTACATGCTGTAATGGCGTGTCAACATCAGAATGTGAAACTGCGTCCCCAACAACCCCAGCAGCAAGCTGTCTGGCCGGGGAGCGACCAGATGGCGCAGACCTACATTCACAACCAGCTGACTGCCTATTATAAATAAGCATCCGGTCAACATAAATTGGACGTCTATCCATTCAGTGACCTCCCCGCCGTTTATCGGGTACAGGGTCCCAATTATGAAGTGCATGGCTGTTTCATTCACAAGCCGTCCTCATGAACAAAATGACATTTTGCAAATAGACTTATCGTGAATGTAAATATGAGGTGTGGGTTTTAAATGGGGTTTTAGCGACCATGTTTTCAGGTCCGGTCAATTCTATAGGTGACATAGGCAGCCACATACGGCGCCAACTTATGAGGGGGCGCCGACTTGCAATTTCACTTTACCTCGGAGGGGGGTGGAGGGGCAGCAGGTGGTGTTTCCGCACGGGCTATAACCAGCCCTGAATGTTTTCTCCTCCCCTCTCTAACGTGGCGTTATCTGCTGTCCCTATATATTTGACCAGGGCCGCTGATATAGTCAAACTAAAACAATTACATTACAAACAATTATATTACTGTGCAGTGTTTGTTATTGATGGCTTCCAGTATCTATTGGCCGATTTGTTCTTCGCTTATGTTTGTGAACACAGCCTGAAAGGCATTACCGGTAATCTTATTAAGCTTTGGGGCTAAACGCCAGTGTCGACCAACTTAATATAGACCTACTCTAAATCCGAAAACCGTACACCACGTGGTTTTTATTACAATTAAATGCGCTCGATTTTCTACAAAAAGCGTTTGTGTACTTTGTTAATGTTCGACTTAAACTATTTAAGAAATGCGTCTTTCAGAGAAAATATCTAGGATACTATTAAATGCGACATAATCCCACAAGTGTTTTTAAAAATAGACAGTAAGTCTGAGGCTTTTGTTTTGTAATAGCCCTATATACGTTTCCAGCAGTCATTTTGTACCCTGTTTATTCAGGAAAGCAGATCGCGGTGGCGCAGCCCCGTAAGATAACATTAATGTACCCTGTAGACACATGATCAGATCGCACAAGGCGGCTGTGCGTTTTAAATAAAATAATGGTTTGGTTAATTTGTTTTGCCCTTTTTGTAGGACGACAGCAAGCAATTAATTAAATAAACATAACAAGTGAAAGAAACAATGCAACAATTCGTGGAGGCAAATATTTTTTATTACTTATTACATGACTCACAGTGCTTATATGTAGTAGGGTAGATGTAATAAAACGGAACAGCATCACATAATCGATAAGATGTGTACTTGCAGATACGGATTGTAAGTAAGCTGTTATATACTGAGAAAGAATGAGTACAGAGATGTTTTAATTTTCAGTGTTACTTTCTATTCCCTCTTTGAAGCGACAAAGTAAAAAATTATATACAAATATACTTTACTGCCAGTATTACTCCAGCGGGCTTTGTGTTTTTAACGCGGTGGCACTGTAAGATAAAGGATGCAGGAGAGATAAGACGGCGTCTATGGTGTTATTTTTCTTTAAATATTATTAAATTGTCCCTTATCGTTTGAGGACACCACAGGGATGGGTATTTTCGAGTGAAATACGATATGTAAATGAAAATGAAGTTACATGGTACTCGGATCTGTATACTATGATGCACTAAAAGCAATACGAACATGGACATAATGAAACAGATGCCCTTTGAGTTTCCTTATTCTTTTCTCCAGCTACTCGCTGCTTCCGGCAGAATTATTTCCAGCGTCCAAGACTTGCTTTAGCTGCCTGAGTCTTTAAACAGGTCGCAGGCAACTTAAAACAAGCCTAGAATGCAGGATAATTTCAAAGGTCGAGAATGCAGGATGATTTAATACGTTTAAATGCTGCTGCTATAAATAAGCACTAATAGATGTTAATAAGGTTGCATACACATACATTAACTACTGTTGGGACCAGTTATGTTACCTCTTCACTGGATATTATTGTGGAAAATCGTTATTGGGAAAAATTAAAATATTACAAAGACATTATTAAACACTTAGGTAATTTACCAAAATCCGGATTTTGAATATATATATTTTTTAAAAACAAATGTTTGAGTTTAGTTCCACATTAAAATCAATGATGAAGTCTGGGCAGTGATATTGCATAGGGCCTACATAATTCCCAGAATTATAAAAAAGTAAACCACTAACTTCAAACAAACGTTTTTGTCAGAATTATGTATGTCAACATACCATTCCCTGATCGAAATAGTTAGGAAAATAAAAACCTACTAAAACCCATTGAAGCTGCGAAATTCAAAACATACAAAGTCTACCTCCTTATAATGACCTATCTCTGGAATAAGCACCTGCTTGGATACCATCCATCTATTCGACTATAGTTTTCTATTTCTTTCTCATGGATTAAGATGTGTTTATTTTCTTTCTGCGTTTTTATTAAGAAGTGAACTTACCTGGTTTGTCGGGTTTTCACGTTATAGGAATGATTAAAAAAAACAACTCTCTCTACCATCTGACCAACATGGCAGTGTTAGATCTGAAATGTGTGCCTGTTTAAATCAACTGGAAGAGGAAAGTATATTTGAGAAAGGTGTGTTTAGTTGAACATTTATAAGGAGATCCTGGACTGGGTGTGTGACGGTGTTTTTCTGAGTTGGTTAAATGTACATGGCCCAGTCCGGTGTGGGTGTGTGGCCCCCAGTGAGCGTTATATACAAACAGGCTGCACAAACGCTGAGGCGGATTCCTAGCCGGATGTTACAGTATGTACTGTAACTCCACACCCGCCACGCCTACTGGTTTTAAAACAAATCACTCATACGTTATTTTCATTTAGGCCTTATTACGCATATTAACTTATTTAGTCCGTCTAAAAATCAGTTTTGTGGAGCTAGAATATTCCAAAATAAATCGGCTAATAAGAGCCATAAAGCGCGGCGGCTTAGCGTCTGCTAGTCGTCATGTGCTGCAGCGCGAAGGCGAAAACAGGTATTTGTTTGAGTCGAGTGATTTTTAAATGAGCTTTTACGCAATCGTATGACTCGCTTTCTTCTTATACACATTTTCTGGTATACAGTCAGTACCCTGGACAGCTCATTCAACCAACATAATTATAGATAGTGACCTACCCTACAGCAATGCGCAAACTCTGCGTGACAACATTTGTCAAAATGAAAGAGAATTAAATTAACATATAGCCTGTTTCAAATGATTCCATAATAAATATGTGAAATTATATAAAACTCAAGCATGTTATAAAATATTTTATGAAGGTGGAATTTTAAATTGTAAAACACTTTATTACAAATGTTTATATCGACATAAGTTGCCAGTGAGTCGTTTCTAATTCAACTATAGGATAGATAAACTCTCATCAGTTTAAAACTTAAAATTTCTGCTTAGATTATCTCATCGTAATAAAAATAGTGGCGAAATCAGGAATGATGAACTCATGCTTTTGTTTATTAAAAGTACAATTCAACAGATAGAATGTGCATCTTATTCCTAACACAGTGGTGGGTACTTCATCTACAAATTACAGTGCCATAATTTATCGTCAGTCAGGACAAAGGAGAATCTATTTTTGAAGGCAAAAACCTAGAACTGAAAATGAAAAATGCATGTTTTACTTAAGAAAATGTAGTTTAAAGATAAAGGAAAAGAGAAAACAGCAATGCAATGTTGTTCTGCTGGACAACTGTAAGCTTCTGTCCTGACTTAGTCCAGTGCGCCCCTTTTATGGATGGGAGGTTAAATAATAGTCAATGAGCCTATGGGAGCAGTTTTTTCCATCTTTGGAAAAATCCTTCATTTCCTACTTTATCACATGTTGTTTCACCATATGGGGCACATCAGAACCATTCTCTGGACTTAATGCTGGATCCTGCGAATGGACTGGATCTGATGTGTGTGTGACTGGGTGCCGTATTCATTGAAGTTTCTGTATTCTCCTTCACGCCGGTCCCTCTCAAGGATGTACTGGTATCCACGGTAACCAGGATACTGGTAAGCCACCCAGCTGTCAAGGGGTCGACACGGAGTAAGTTCTTGGCTTAAAGTCTCCTGTTTCTCATCTTACCTTCAATACTAAATGATTATTTGGTAAGAGGGTGCCTTGCTCACCAATTAAACACGTAATGTAAAACCTCCAGGTCCAATTGACTTTGAATGTTGACTCCTGGACATGTGTAACATAGCTGATGAAAGGAATCTATGATATGGATGTTTGACTTACGCTCCAGAATTGACTTTGATGGAGGGTACCTCCTTGCTACACCAGCCCATGGCTTGCAGTGAGGGGTAGTCATCACAGACCTCAAATTTGTGTCCCTGGAGATCTTTGCACTCATGGAGGGTCACCTTGCTGTCACTGTGGTTCTTTTGGGGGAGTGAAAATGCTTTGTTATCATTCATTCCATGTCAGCCAAACACATAATGTCACTTCCGTCTCCCTGCATTTTATTTTATTTTTTTCTGGGTTTTTCTTGCGATGGCAGCAACAGATTTTTTAAAAAGCTGCTTTGGAAGTTACCTTGTATTTTTTATTGTTTTACAATTTACACAATAGGAAGTAATGCAAACATCATACGAAGATGTGTTTCATCCAAATAAATGGTCCAGATTCATTCAACACCCATTCCAGCCCCTAAAGGCTGAAACACACATGGAGTATATTCAGTATTTATCAATGTATCATGACAGCCAACTAAATTTGAAGAGAGCTTACAGCACATCTGATTGGTCTAAAAGAGAGCAGGTGTTCCGTTCTGTAGCCAATGTTTCCACTCCATGCTTCCCAGTGAGGGTAGTCCCCTTTCTCCAGGATGAACTGCTGGCCCTGGAGCTCAGGGTGCTCAAACCCTACAAATCTGAAAGAAGTTTAAACAGATAAAGACAGGAAAAGGTAAGTGCAGGGGAGAGATGGAGGTACATCCGGGTGCAAAGATAAATAGATATTCTGAAAACAAATGTGGCACAAATCACCATTATGACACCCTGGGTATTTGGTCTCACATCCATAAATTAGCTAAATCAATCCCTTCTGCTTTGGATAGTTAGTGCCTAGAAAGCAATTAAATTCTGCATGATAAAATTACGAGTTAATTTTCCCACAAATCTAATCCCTGACAGATATGCAATTAAGCAGCGCAGTTCACACATATAATAGTAATTTCAATTAAAACACAGCACAGTGGGCCAATGGGAGTTGCCTTTCTTCTATAAACTGACCTATAACTTATTATTCAAAGTAAACAAATACTTTACATTGTCTAATTTTCACTAGAATTAAAATACTACAGAAATACCATTCAATATTCATAAGAGACTTCTATATGAGCATACTTGCAGCTTAGTGTTTCTGAAGCTTATCTTTGATGGCACTCAGGACCACAACCCTGACCCCAGAGCAGTCACACTGGCCCGAGGAGTGACTTACGCCCCATTCTCCACTTTGATAGAGCGGATCTTGCGGAAGCCCCTCTCCAAGATGTTCCTGCACTCCTGCATGAACTCGCAGCGTTTGCCCTGGAAGTTCTCCTCCTCCCAGACCGTGATTCTAAACGGCCCCCCCTGCTCCGTCTGAGTTTGAATATGTAGAGTGTTCATGGCAGCTCCTCTTGCCAGTGCTCTCCCTGTCTGGGGGGGGGGGGGTACAGAAAGCATCAGAGACAGGGTACTGCGCTTCACTGGAAGACCCATCCATCAGTTTATCAATGTGTAGAAGCTAACATCTGAAGATCACCAACAGCCTAACAGCCTTAATGGAATCTGAAAACCTAACCTGGTCTGAACTATCATCGCCAAATGAATAATAAGATCTATCAGCCATCCTCATCCCCCAGCATCCATGTCATAGCGCTCTTTACGGAAATATAGGAATCTTTGCTTTGCCCTATTCTGGAGTGGGGAAGTACTTACGTATCAACGTGAGACAGGTCTCCTATCAATGGGAAATGAAACAGGCAGCAGGGTATCTAATGCATTTATAGTCCTGGTCTCCACATTTAGTGCAGAATTTGCACAAGCTCTGCACACTCAGCACTGTCTGAAAAGCCGCATTAGTCCACACCATTGTCAGGGGGTTTGTTGCTGTCATTGTCGGGGATGCGGGTTCTTCTGATTCATCAAAACAGTGGTCTGCCCACCCCCCCCCCCCCCCCAACCCCCACAGCAGCTGGCTGGCCACATTGGGAATGTACTAACGTGACAGTTTGATCGGGAACTGGGGAAAATAATGCTTTCAGAAGGATGGAGACTATGAGCGAATTAAGATGCTGCAATTTGCGTCCTTTGGAACTGTAGCGCATTTTCCAGAAATACAGGGAGAACATGAAGATTTTACTTGAAACCTAATTTAAGACTTAAATCACCTTTACTACATAGACAAATTATAAGGTTATGTCCACCAATCAATCAGACTTTATACCCGTAATTCAGTCCACATCTTACCCTGAACAGGTCACCTGCCAATTAGACGCACCAGCAGACTATTTCCTTTATTTCATAAATATTGTTCCAATACAGCTTCCTTTTATGAAGCATTGCAAGTTTTTCCTGATCATTCATTTATAAGGTGTAACTGTGTATATCAACCCCTTGCCTGTAAGTCACAACTTTGTATGAGGTTTGGATTTGGTTTACTTCCCAGTATTGTTTCAACCCTTGCATGTTTTTAGAGTTTATAAATTTTGGATTGTGCTTTTGGATGTTAAAATAAACAGATATATACAGGAGTGTAACACCAAATTTTGGACCCTGGACCCAGCAAAGCACATGAAATCCCTGCTGAGTCGATGCATAAATCCTTCCTCAAGTGACATCTTGTGGTACACTGATTTATTGCAGGGCCTACTCAAAATCTCAAAATGGTGGGTAAAAACAACCGTAGTAATAGAAGCAACTAAACCTAGATCCAAATACACCGATTTAGCTTCTTAACTAACCCAGAAGCCAGCTATGATGGTTTAGGAAACAGTTTGAATTGTTTCGCCATACAATGTAAAGCATGTGGTATTTCATGTTAAAATCATCAATAGTAGCCAAAATCGAGGAACAACTGATTAAAATTGTACTCCAATGCAGACTAAATAAGAAAAAAATTAAGAGAAAAAATTGAGCCAACCAAAAACCAAAAAAAAAAATCAACTTAATAATGCTGCCAAACTGGCAAACAAGAAGATGTCTAAAAATGGCAAAAAAAAAACACAAAATAATTGTGGAAGAGGGTGGATATATAGGTTTCACTTATTAGGCACAGTTGATCTCAGTATTCAGGTGAGGCAAAGTGCAGGAAAGCTAAACTGGGCAGAGTAGAAGTGCTGGTCTGGATAATGGATCTGGATTGCACCAACATAACAGACAGTATGTAATAACCTATTGGTTTGTATATATTTTGACAAAGGTATGGAACAGTGGTTAGCAGTGTTGCCTCACATCTGTGGGAGCAGCGTTCAAGTCTCTGCTATGCCTCTATGTGAGTGGAGTGTGCATGTTCTACCCATTTCATCTTGGGTGTCCTCCAGGTACTCTGCTCTCCCCCTCACAATCTAAGTGTGAGTTACCAAATTGTCCAAGTCTGTGATGGGTTGGTGGCCCATTCTGGATTGTTCAATTCAATTTATTTTTATATAGCGCCTTTAACAGCAGAGTCATCCCAAAGCGCTTTACAGGGTTCTGTTGTGATACATAAAACAGAAGTAGAGGGAGATACAGAATGGGGGGAAAAAATGAAAGAAAGAAATTGAATAAAGAAAGCCTGAAGACAACAGAAGAGAGGAACCTAAAACTCCCAAGTAGGGAGAAAAAAAAACCTCTGGGGGTCCAAGGTCAACTGGCTGCCCCCCCCCCCCCCCCCCCCAGTCCCATTTCTTAAAAAGTGGGACCACCATCCCAGTCTATCAGTTCTCCACAGAATCATTGTCCCTGACCTCCATGCAATGTTGAAGAGGCATGTCAGCCAAGACAGTCCCACATCGTCAAGAGCCTTCAGGAACCCAGAGTGAATCTCATCAACCCCTGGAGGCTTAAAACTGAAGATCATTTTAAGAGGCTAAGTTCTGGCCCTCCATCTATACCACAGCCATGAACCGTCAGTAGGTCACTCGTTCAAGGGTTCTGAACAGGTATTAGTTATTCTGTTTTCACTCTCACTGATTGTCTAACCTATTTAACCACTTAAGCAAGTTCTTTCTGTGTGAGGAATTGTCTAATGAACAGTTACCTAGTGTTAAGTTCTTTCCAGAGTGCCTGAATTTTCTCCGGTGTGGTTTGGTGTGTGTGTCACCCCTGATCCCCTGCCTGGTGATCAAGTTCACTGATCACCCTTTCAGTTTGAGTGCTCATCTCTACTTTCCTCTACTTGACTGCCTGCTTTTCCCTGCACCCCCAGGACCGACCTTTTGGCTTACTGACCTTGGCTTTTACCTTTGATTCTGATCTCCATCTCTCGTTTGTGATTTCCATCTGCTCTGCGTCTGGATTCCCTGTTACAGAAGTTCTCGCCGCATATGGATTGAGAAAAGCCCTGCGGCACATTGGCTTATCTGGAGTAGCATCTGTAGGATTTGTCTGCTGACCAAAGAGCAACACCAGTGCTGGTTCTTCCAGATCCCAGACCTGTATGATGTTTCATCTGAATGGCTTCCTCGTGTACTGTGAGCTATTCACCTACTATGACAACATCTTGATGGCCATGGAAACTGACCTGGTCAACTTCATGATGTTGCTTCAAACTAGATAAGCTCAGGAGTGGGAAACTGCCTGGTACCATTAAAGCAGCCCAGTCCTCCACTCTTTGCCGCATTTGCAAAATACTTTAATGAAGTTTTCATTCATTCCTCTCAAGGCAGAGATGTGAGCAACCAGATTTCCTCATGGAATACCACAGAGGTATTAATGCCAACCTACAGGCAGAGATGGCCTGCTGGGGCAAAGATCTCTGCTTGGAGGATCTCTGTCTCTCAATCCACTTGGATAACTTGGTCCACGATTGCCGCTGTCTTCAACCAGCCAGGGCCAATCCACCTCAGGCCCCAGTGTCTCCACTTCTGCCAACCAGTTATCTCCCCTCCTCTTGCTGTTGGAACAGAGACCATATACTTCGGAAGAGCTTCTCCCACTCAGATGGAATGACAGCAATGAATGCTTAATCGGCTCTGCCGTTTATTTCAGAGAGCCCAGTCATGTCATCTCCCAGTGTCAATCTTCCCTGCCACATGCTTGGGAGAACTCCTGCACAAGTCAGGTCCTCAGTTTGATATTATACATAAACAGCTCACCTTACCTGTTGTGATTCACCCTGAATCTGGTGTTCTTGTATCCACAGCCTTGATAAACTTTGGAGCTGCTGGAAATTTCATTGACATCACCTTGGCTTGCCATCTGAACCTGCCTATGCAACAAGTGAAACCCTTGCTTCACATCCATGTGCTGGACGGGTCTCTAATGGGTGATGGTTCCATCACACAATGCATCAAGCCCATCCTCTTACAACTCGGTCTGTTATATCAGGAACTTATCCAACTTTTTGTGATTAAATCTTCTCATGATCCTTTGGTACTCGGACATCCCTGGTTGTGCAATCACAACCCACATGTCTTGTGGCATATGGGTGAAATCATTGCTTGGAATGCTACCGGCTTTTCCACTTGTTTGCAGTTACCCATCCTCACCACCTCAGTGAAGAACCCTCAGACTAAGGAGATTCACATTTCCCCCAGTATAACAACTTCCTGGATGACTTCAGCAAGACAAATCCACGCAAATTACCCCCACATCGTCCCTGAGATTGTGCTGTCGACTTGCTTCCCGGTTCTACCCTGACCAAAAGCTACGTTTACCCCATAACCTTAGCAGAATCTCAGGGACCAGTATGTCGAGAAGATGTTTCCGTCTGGATTCATTTAGCCATCCACCTCCCTGGTTGCTTCTGGATTCTTCTTTTTAGAAAAGAAGAATGGGGACTGTGTCCATGTATTGACTACTACACTCTTGAAGTTACTAGCAAGTTCAGCTTTTCACTACCTTTGACTCTTTGCCTTGTTGGAGCAAGTTCAGTCAACTCAGTAATTTACTATGTTGGACCTGCAGAGTGCTTACAATATGATCCATATACAGGAGGGCAACAAATGGAAGACCACATTCAATACTACACATGGTCAATATGAATATTTACTGATTCCTTTTGGGCTCGCTAATGCCACCTCAGTATTGCAGTCATTTATCAGCACCATTTTTCATAAGTTAAATGACTGGTCTCTTACCGTTTACATTGACGATTTATTAATGCACTCACCAAGGTGGCATTCATCATTATAAGTGGATGCCTTGGATATCACTGTTGGGACTGTGCTGTCTCAACCAAGAGGCTCCTCCAAAGTTGTACCCCTGCATCTTTTACTCACATAATCTGTCTGGGATGGAGTGAAAATATGACATAAGTATCTAGGAACTACTGATGATAAGAACATTGCCTTGAAGGGGACAAGCATTCATTACAGGTGCTTATAGATCACGAGAACCTGAAATATATCCATAATACAAAACAATTGAACCCTTGGCAAACCCAATGGGCCATGATCTTTGTGCATTTCAGGTTCACGGTCACCTACCCCCTTAGGTAGAAGAATTCCAAAGGGGACTCCGTATCGCATAGGTTCAACCTAGACTAAAGTTTCTCACCTGCTGACATCATCCTGCCCCAACCTACTTTGTCTTTCAGCACATATTTTGAGTTTTTATGGCATGCGAGAAGACATAGCAAGTAACCCAGGACCCCAGTTCTAGGTTTTGGAGAGCATTTTTCATTGCCTGGGTATCTCTCTAAGTTTGATATCTGGGTACTATCCCCAGACTAAGGGGGAGTACAAGCAGCTAAACCAAGAACAAAAAAAATATGGAGGTTCTTTCCCATACTGTGCTCATAACCTAGGTGACCAGAGCCAGCTTCTTCTATAGGTGGAGCATGTCCAGAATTCATTGTCATTGTTCTTTGTCACTATTCACAATGTGTCATTTCAGTCTGTTTTAGGGTATCAGCCTCCTCTCTACCCTTGGGAGACAGAGCCCAGTAGTGTACCAGTGGTTGACGACTGGTTTTAGAGGAGCAGTCAAGTCTGGGCTAAACTCTAACAGTTACCTATCAATCCTAACCCTAACCAATCAACTCTAATCCTAAACCAAACCATTAACCCAATCCTAAAGCATAATCCACCCTGAAAACAATGGCCATCCCTAACCCCAATGGTAAACTTAGTATAACCACATATTCCATAATTACAACAAAGGCACTACCCCTACCCTAATACCGAACCTCATTCTAGATCTAACCCTAATTCCTAGATATAACCCTAACCCTAATAACCTCAACCTTAACCTTAACTCTATTTTAACCAATCCCTAACCCAAGGCATACATTTAGATCAGGCTTTTGGATATTTGGATGGAAGGGAATAAATAAGAGGTTCTATCATCATTGGTACAGACTATGAGTGCAAGTGGGTGTGGTTATCTAAAACCAGGCACATGATATTTCCATTCTGCTTTATTTTAAGAGATCTTGCCAGCATATTTCATTGGTAACATATGGCAGAGTAGGTGCAAGGAGGGTAGATATTTTACTGAATATCTAGCTCTATCCAATAACTGATTTCTGTATTCTTTGTTGGCTTTTTGGATGTTCAGCTCTTTATGTGTGCGTTGGTGTTGGTGGTGGGGGGGGGGGGGGGGCATGGATGCAGGCACATGAGCACAACCTTTTCACCCTGCCATTTCCTTCTCACATGCCAGGCACAACAGATACACCTGTGTCATGTTGTCTCCCAGCGATGTCATGTGGACAGCAGGGAGACAGAGAGAAACCAGGCTGCTTCCCACCCCCAAGGGAGGAGGTCCTGGTCTCCAGTCAGGTTTGCTGACTTCTGCTGCTGTAGCAAGGGCCACTCTGGGGACAGGCAGCTGGGTCTTTTGTTTGCCCATTTGAATGATTAGATCTGTCTCTGCTCTGCATCAGCTGTGACCTCATTTAACTGGGAAATTCAGCTTTTACCTCATTTACATTTCACATTCACACCACCTCTGATTTCCTCTCTGTTCTGCTTTGAATATTTTTAATCTCTTCTGTTGAGGTCTTACAAAGACGTATTCTCAATCCATATTTTAATATCAGTCTAACCGTTTCAAGTGTTTTCAGACACATGGGATAAAGAAACGAAAAAACATTTATTGGGTGTTACATGTATGGTGAGAATTGTAACGTTTGTCAGCATTGAGATTATTCAGATCAGTGTTAATATTTCAAACATGCTGAATGACAAATGATAATGAACATATGTGAAACGTACTGAAGGTGTGTGTGTCCCTGAGGACTAGTTTGGTCTATTCACTTAGGTCTGCTCAGGGCTGAACTCATCTACACATGTTCATCTACCGTGCCATGAACACTAAGGTGTTTTTATGTTTGCCCTTATGGAGCGAACCTGAACAGCTGGTTGAAGGTGGAGAGGGGAGCGAGGGGGGTGTCGCAAGTTGAAAGTAATGAAAATGACATCCTATCAGTGCAGCGCCGGCAACCAGGGCAAACAACAGTGTTTGCACATCTGCCTTTTAGCATCCATTCAGTGTTTTGCCGTCCTTGCCTTCCATCTTCCATCATTTAAATCCACAGTTGCCGCAATAGAGCTATTTGATTAGAAATTAAATTGTGGGATATTGGGGAAAAGGGGAGCTGATTGGTTATATGTATGTTTATATGTTTTTTTTTCTGTGAAAAGCCAAGACAGATTCCAGGCTCTCCATGGTAACAGAAGACACAATGTCCTCCAAATAGCAGCTTCTGAAACATTATGTAAACATCAGCAACTCACCAGCAGAGCATATGTGCTTAAAGAAAAATGGCTACTACTTCAAATTCATTCTCGAGATGCCATTTTGAAATATACTCACCTACGCAATATAAAAAGTAAGTTTGTGGCATGCATTCATATGCCCTAGCCTTTCAAATACTCAGAACTGAGGTTATTTAACTGATAATGTTGTGGATGAATTTGCAATCCTTATATTGATCATGAAGGGGTTATGGGTACCCCACCGTTAACAGATAAGAGTTCATCATGGAGTACGCACTTCAGCCGCATGATCAGGTACAGCAGCTTCAACGAAACAGCTGGTATCGATGACACAAGCGGTCAGGCAGGGCGGCCACGTTTCCTCGTTTGACACCGGGACGCGCTATTTGATTAGCCGGTGAATAGACAGTGGCTGCTGGCTCTACGTGTTTGCCATGGAAACTAATCCACCAGAGGACAAACGTGAACAGGTCACACAGGTAACATCTGCTCCCGCTGCAGCTCATCACGTACGACACTCTGCCCGAGGACAGAAGACTTCTGCTCCCCCAAGCCACCCACCCCCCTACCTCTGTACAAGGGAGCGCGCGGCGTTAGCAGCTAACGCACAAAGAGCTGCCCGAGAGCACCCCGAGGCATTTGCATATTTCATCAGTGACCTTTTTAACCATTTTCTAAACACCAGCCACCCAGTCACAGATAACCATCCATTTCGCCAGAGGTAAGCAGTTGTCCAGCCTCTATAAACATAACCATTCATCTCTGGAAACCCAGAAGATTAAAAATCTGCAAAATAAGCCGAGAAGTTTTTTTTTTGTTCTTTCTTTTTTGAGGGAAAAGGTGCATTTCGGGATTGCAGATGTGAAGCTTGATCAGATAATGGCCAGACAAATGTTCTGAATCAAGCATCTGTCACAATAATTCCATTTACAAAAGCAGCTCTTGGAAAAGCTGGGTTTCATATTTAACCCAAAGCAAGAGCACAACATAAATACATTTTCTGAAAATTATTAGGTTGTTGTCTTTAACAAAGGTATTTTTCTTAATCGAATCACTGATGTTTTTATGATGGTTTTATTACTGTTGATATCAACAGGTGGGTGTTGTACAGGACACTGGAGTGTGACGTCATGACAGAAACTTGCTGTGCATTTCAGAATACGGGCAATTGTGTCCGGTATTAGTTGCTTGACAGGAAAGGAGACACACAGAAGCAATATTTCACAGCCCCGGTCTTCGGTTACGGCTTTAATTCACACTCTTCGCTCGAATGATACATTGATACTAATATCATCATATCATATGTACATATGCTTCAACCAGTTTTAATTAAACAATCACCTTGCAGTCATACGGCTTTTAGTTATATTTAATACAAATAAATGTTATATTCTATTAACTTGAAACAAAGAAAACCTTCGAGTCCAAAAGATCTGAAGGTTTGAAAAAGTTCCTTAATACTGTACTGTTATTTTAGTTAAGATCAAACTCAAAGATTACCATGGTGCTATATAGAGCTTTGATCTGTGCGTAAATGGATTGTCGTTCACTCTGTAGTACAGCTAACTTTACATCAGTTTTAAGGATCTTAGTGAAAAGGACAATTTTATTCATTTCTAAAAGGCAGGGAAAAAAACAAGAAAATGTCCGTAAGAATTTCAGAAGACGTTGTACTCAGTACTGTTATCAGTTTTCCTTTATTCTGGTTACTTGGTTATATGCAGACAGTATGTGATGAATTTCTAGAGAATCCGTTAAACTGTTATCGCTGTAACATAAATCTCAAAGAAGACAGGAAACGGCAGAAACTGGAATCGTCTTGTAATTGGCTGAAGTAATGCAAGGAAACTGAGTTACGTACAGGTACTTTTACACCGTTTGTACTTCCCTAAATTCAAGACCTAAAAACTGTCATTGTTTATTGACACAATGACTTCACAACATATTTATTAAGTATGACTGAACTGAAATAGTTCATTAATCCAGTATTCAGTGTGAGGACACCGAAAATGAAACCTATTTACATGGGATTTGAAATTTTCATGGTCAGGATTATCTGTAAAATTGACATCATGACATAATGCAAATAATATTTAATGAGGAATAATGAATACTATGATCAATATATTAACAGTTGTTCTTTTAAATGACTGAATTGCGTATTGTATAATGGGGGTATATTCACATTCATATATTTCCCTTAGCCTTCAGGTGCAAATGCTGGGACTATGGTTCACCTTGACATCAGTGGAGGATCCACGAGTTTCCCAAACTTTGTCTTCTCTTTGTTCTTGTCTTTGATGCGCTTGGTGGAAGTTTCCTCGGAGGGACGCAAATCTGTACCTGCTTAACGCGAGCCGAACGAACAAAACTTCATGTTCAGGTATTGTTACGCGTGGCTCGGCGTGAGACAGACACAGATCAGCCAGGATCCGAAGTCAGTGATCAGCTCATCCGGGCTCGTTTGCATCTGGTCCCCTTGTCGCATTCGGGAAAACTAGGCAAAGTCCTACTTCCTAGTTTCATATGTATAATTATCTTTCCAGATGCTTCTTTTCTAAACAGAGAGAGAAAAAAAAAACATTTTAAAAAGGATATTCCTAATGACATACAACATATTTACCCAGTTGTTTGAAATAAACCAATTTATTTCTCAACCGACTGTAATATTTCGACCATGCAATTTATTTATGTTTGTCATCAGACAAAAGAGAACTTAATAATAATAATAAAAATAATAAAACAAAACCTTACCCATACCGGCTTTTTTCTAAATGCTAGCTGATGTGACGATGTAGCTTTCCTGGGGGGGAGGGGGCGCCCTGAGTGAGACGCGTCCCTCCAACCGCAACTTTAGGGGGGAATGAACCTATGTGTCCAATGAAGAGTTTATATAGTCGGGTTAAAAATAGTAACCCCTCCATTACAATTTTTTTAAGGCTTTAAAGAGAGAGGATCCGCATGCACACCTGTCGCACCTTGCTTTTACTCAAATCCAATATTGACACGGGAGTCCTTGGGGGTGGGCAGTAGGCGGCGATTTTCCAAGCACTTGCACCAGCCTTTCTCGCTATGAAAATAGGAGTTCATTAGCATTAATTAAAGTGACATGGCGGCCTGACTCGATCGTCATAATCTCGCTGGATGTTAAAAAACCCGAGGAAAAGGGAAACGTAAAGGGTATTGTGTTAGAGGAAACACGGAGAGCACATGCTCGGCCAGCCCCTTATCAGTACCCAATTTACATAGATTTCCATGTTGTTTGCAAAGCAGTCGTTTTTCGGCTCGTCGGGCCTTGGCGAAAGTACCTGAAATTACGTCGCATGAGATTTGGATAAAGTTACTGATCTCTTAACAGGGTACAACTTATTACTTAACCTATTCTTTTACATCTGCTGTTTAAATACCAGTCAGGAATGAGTTTGAACTTACCTGTAAAAATTAGGCTGGATGTTTTGTTTTATTTTTATGGTGTATACCTAGAGAACCAAACTTGAGCCGACTGTAATATTTCAACCATGCACAAAAGATGTAATAATAATGAGAAACACATTTCATAGTGGGGCGGCATGGAGGTGCAGTGGTTAGCACTGTTGCCTCACACCTCTGGGACCTGGGTTCGAGTCTCCACCTGGGTTACATGTGTGTGGAGTTTGCATGTTCTCCCCGTGTCATCATGGGGTTTCCTCCGGTTTCCACCCACAGACATGCTGAGACTAATTAGAACTACTAAATTGCCCTTAGGTGTGCATGTGTGAGTGAATGGTGTGTGAGTGTGCCCTGCAATAGACTGGCCACCCATCCAGGGCTGTTCTTTGCCTCCTGCCCTTTGCTTCCAGGATAGGCTCCGGACCCCCCGTGACCCAATAGGATACAGCCGGTTGAACAAAATATATGAATACAATTTTGTTCATTCACTTTATTTCTACAAAATGAAAATCAGTGCTGGGAATGAAAAACTTATGGTTTTTCATAGTCTCTAGGGATTCTTTTCTGATAGGCTTCCCAGCCTGCCTTTCTGTATTCTTCTGCAGCCACCACCTTGTCTGGTGCAGCCAGGATTCCACGTCCCACAATGATGACATCAGACTCTTTTCCACCAATGACATCGCTGGGAGAACAATACTGCTGGCCCAAGTCATCACCTGAAACATAAATGTGACACGTTTCAAATAGATTATGCCGCTGTGACCTGTACTAAACTTTGGTCAAAACTAAAACGTAATTTCTTTGACAATAGCACCACCATGTGGCGGAGATACAAACTGCAAGAGAATATAGAAAATCAAAAATTAATAAATTACAGGATCAATAATGGAAACAAGCGCTAATGAATAAATAACATTTGTTTTTGAAATACACTTGGCAAAATCCCATTAACTATAACAGCACACACCCTTAAGATGGCTATATTTAAACACGGTAAGACGTACCTCCTGAGTGCAGATGTACACCAGGTGTCATGTGCACAAAGCCAGGCTCACTGCTGATCTTGCCGCCACAGATGAAGCCAAAGACAAAGTCAGAATTCTCTTCTGCCATTTTTACCTGGTAAAACAGTGAGATTTTAGAAATTTTGACTGGACAAATATTACAGTTTCAGATATTAAACTTAGTTCCAATAAGTTAAAATAAAAAGATATAACATGACTGCTCATCATCATGATAATTTCAGCGACAACTAATTAATCCTGCGTTCGATTATCTCTCTCCGAGTCGGAACTCTGATGAAAACGTCATGAAAAACGTCACTTCCCGTCGGAAACACGCCTCTTTCATGACGTTGATGTCGGACAAGATTTTGGTGTCCGGGATTCCCCTGTGACGTAATTTCAACATGACGGCTTACACACTCAACAGTAATTCTATTTCATATATATTTAAAAATGCTTATTTTGTTAAATGTATTAATAGTTATAAATGTAATTGCACGTCTTCAATTTAGAGAATACTATATCATGACCATAAACAGTATCCTAGCATGCAATATCAGATTTTTACCAGACTTGTTAGTGTCTTTTGTTTGTTTGCCTCTCAAAAAAAAGAATATCGCTATGAATGTACTAAAATGTTTTATAAAGCTTTTAATGTGGTTTGACTAGTTTGTGTTTCTTGTTTGTTTGTCTCTCAGAAAAAAAAAAATCTTACTCCAAATCTGCTAAAATGTAAAGCGACAACACACAGCAGCGTGTTCATGGAGGCAGCCATGTTTGTTCCGAGATGTGGTAGCTCGAACGGGAGATTGTCGGACGTGATGTCACTCACCTTGGAATTCCGAGTTCCGAGAGATAATCAAACGCAGGAAAAAAACTTTTTTATTCCATATGTATGCATGAATAATGAAGAGGATAAGATTAATAGAAGGATTACATAAAAAGACATTAAGAGAACAGAACATTTTAGTTATATTCCGCATATAACTATTAACTGGAACATTCCCTGCAGACTCACCACTGCCTCTGTGTAGCTCCCTGTTGCTAAGGAGCCCTGGGAACTCATCTGGGCGATAAGCAGGCACCCCCTCTCCAGGGGCTGCCCGACTGCACGAAGCCCTTTTATCACCCCCGGGCCGGGCACGGCGTGAGCGTTGATGATGTGGGACCAGGACGAGATGCGGTACTGTCCCCCTGTTTGACAAAAACACAAGGCAGAAAAGCACAGTAACATTTCTAGTATCACAAATATGGCACACTTAAAGCTAACTTCATACAAACCTAGCAGCTTCCTCCAAACAGGCTTTGTTGCTAAATAAATTGCCTGCCACACTGCCTGGCCAAAAAAAAGTCACATACTTTAATATTTCACTGGACCACCTTCAGGTTAGATTATGATGCACATTTGTCAATGTGTTGTTTCCATGTGCTTATGCAAAATCTCAACATTTACACCCACCCACATTTGCATTAATTTCTCATTGAGATCCTGTACTGATGATAGGCAAGTTGAACCACTATGTAAAGTCTTCTTCAGCACATCTCAAAGACTTTCAATGGGGTTAAGGTCAAGAATCTGTGGTGGCCAATTCATGTGTCAAAATAATGCCACATACTCCCTGAACCACTCTTTGACAATCGGAGTACGATGAACCCTGGCATTATCGTCCTGGAATATGCCCATGCCGTTAGGAAAGGAAGAGTCCATTGATGGGATAAGCTGGCCGTATAGTAGATCCAGGTAGTCAGCTCACGTTATTGCTGCATAACGCTGCGGAGCTGTAATAATTATCCAAACACTCGCTGTTCCATGCTTGCCGATTTAAATTGAAATAATGACTTTATTTGGTTAACGATCATAAACAAAGGGTTCAGAGAAATAAAACACAGGCTTTAGGCCCAGCTCACCTCCGTACTGGTGTTTGACCGTGTTTCCAATGTCGGCAAACTTCCGGTCCTCAAATATAAGGAAGTCATGCTTCTCAGACAGGTCCTTGAGTGTCTGGGCGACTTTTTGGGAGAAGTCCTCCAGGATGTCAACATGGGTCTTCAGCACGCAGATGAGGGGGCCCAGCTCCTCAGCCAGCCGCAGCAGCTCCTCCGCACGCGTCACGTCGGCCGAAAGGCACAGGTTGCTCTTCTTATTCTCCATCAGTCTCAGGAGACGGGCAGCCAGGGGGTGGGTGTCTGGACGCTCGGCACGGGCCTTGTAAGTCAGTTTCTCGTGGGGCTTCCTGTTGATCGATGGGTCACAGTCTGGGGTCTCGAAGCTGTTCTCCTTGATGAACTGGCGGACGCTCACCACAGTGTCGGAATCGATCCTTCCTGCTTTGTGAAGGACCTCCAGGAGTTTGGAGAGGGTTAAGACAGAGTGGAGTGTGATCCCTTCCTTTTCCAGCCGTTTCGCACCGCCTTGCCCCCTGTCCATCAGCACAACGGCATCAGTCACCATCAAGCCTTCCTTCTGCAGCACTTCAGCAGTTTCTAGGACACTGCCTCCACTTGTCACCACATCCTCAATGATAAGACACAAATCCCCAGGACGAACAGTTCCTTCAACCAGTTTCTTAGTCCCTATATTTATAAGGGGAGATGAGAAAGGGGACCACACTTTACTGGAACAGTAAAAACAAGCTTAATGTCTGAAGAAAAATCCTAGTGTGCTAAACCAACTAAAATAATTAGCTAATAAAAGATAGACACCATACCAGCACCGCACCGCCCCCCCAGAGCATATGAGCGGTAAAAAATCAGTCAGTGCATTCATCCATCTATCTATCCATCCAACGTACCATAATCCTTCATTTCTTTTCTTCTAATGAGCATCGGCAGCTCATGTTCGGAGCAGATGATGGTTGCAAGAGGCAGAGCTGTGTAGGGGACGCCGCACACAGTGTTAAACTTCAACCCCGCGCGCTTGGCATGCAGGAACAGGAGATTGGACACCTACGAGATAAAGCACGCGCAGAGCACGTGATAATGTAACACAAAACATACAAGTTTTTCATAAAGGAATATCTGTTACCAGATACGACAGCCACGGAACTCTTGCATTGCAACGAATGATTTTTCATCTGGTTACTTTTTTTTTTACACTTCAGAAAGTCACAAACGTTATCAAAATTCCCGTTTTGGGATTAGTGTTGAATCAGTATTGCTAAAATAAGGCTTGGTTTTGGGTCACAGGCTCCTACAGCCTAGGAGCAATTGAAAAAAAACTGCCTAATTTTAGAGAAAAAAAAATATTAAGTAAACAAAGGGTTAAAATCGAATGAAAGTTGCTGTGTCCTGTAGTGTTCAGGTAGTAGTATAATTTGCACCCATTTGGGGCTCATAAGCTCCCATTGCCTAGAAGGTATTGAAGGTACCCTGCCGTGAATGGCACCCCCCTGTATCTTTGTCTCTGGTGATCATATAACAAAATGCTTTGGACAGTACTCTCTGTATATGGTACTGTACTACCTGAGCAAATTTCATTTATGTAGGACATACAGAGCCAGAATTTATAGGGGGTGCAATTCCCGGCATGTACCCTGCCGTGAATGGCACCCCCCTGCATTTTTGTCTTAGATGATTAGATCATATTTTTTATAATACACACAGTGGACCAAAAGTTGTTATCTGAGCAAGCTTCACAAATTTAGTTTCAGTGCAGCTAGATTTGAAAAGGGCGTATTCCCTTATGCATAAGGACGCGCTCCCCTCCACCCCTGCATGTTCAGGTCACTTGATCTTCTCCTTATTTGCTTTTGATAAATCTGCACAATAGACCAACATCAATAAACAGTGCGAACTTTGTAAGGTACTAATAACACAGTTACTGAGCCAGTTTCTTAAGTATGAAACAAGTATTAAGCTGCCGTAAAATTAACCCCCCACCCCACGTGCTGCACGTGATATGGCATTCATGAAATTCAGTAATTATTATATATTTCTTTAAATATCTCGGTTGCTAACAGCATTTCGTGATAGAATTAAAGGGAAGAATGGAAATGAATTTCCTGCCAGGTTAGCCGTCATAAAGACAAATATCTTTTTTGTTTAGGTATTTCAGATCACTGTACCAGAACATTGTCTTCATTGTGGAGAAAAATAAATTATTTTATAAGTATAAGGAATAATATTGTGTGATTTTCTTTGGTTATTAAAGCCAAGGACTTCCTTGTTCTCAAACCTGTAAACTGATGACGAGATAAATAAATAACCTACGTTCTCGTTCGGGGCTCATCGTCTACATGTCACAGTTTATAACTTTTATTTGGGTTAAATGCAGCCTTCGTGAAGTGAAACAGTGATAAAGGTCTTCTAAATGTGCAAGCGAAATTTAATATTTCTGTTGCATAATTAGATTGACGGAACTACGTCTTTTCCCCCTTCGAATCGAAGAAAAGAGCGGTGCGCGCTCCTGACGGGGGGTGCAGAATTCGGCACAACACCTGTTAGCATGAGTGAAACACCGCCGCTAAGTCTGGAGAGTGTGGCTCTGAATATCCGTCGAATATCCAACCTTAAAACTGATTTGAGTTTGAGAATTCAATGCTACACGACAGAACACGTGCTGAGCTGAAGCTATTAGAAACCTACCTTATTCATGAGAGACGGGTGCGAAACTATAACTCGCAGATCGAAATAAATCGGTGAATTAATACCACTCTTCAACTTGAATGACCCAAATTTTACTGCTTGTATTTCATACAGCTTAACGATTAAATGATCTATTTCATCCATATTGGAGAGAGTAGCTGTAACAAGACCACGTGTTCTTCTTCTTCTGCTTGCTGTTTTATGGCGGCTGGCAAACAACTATTTGGTGCATTACCGCCACCAACCGGTAGGGAGTGTGAATCAGACCGTCAAACTAAAAAAAAAAATCCTTAAATTCTTTTATCCAACCCAGTTGCCCTCAAATACTGAAAAATAAACTTAAAACACACATCGGCAGGGCTTTTCCATAATATATTCATAAGTTAGTACTGCTCGTTTTCCCGTTCAAGACTCCGTATTAATTCTGCCCTTTCTGTATGGTACCTCCTACAATTAATCATTACATGTTCCACTGTTTCACTGTCTCCACAGAATTCACACCGTCCTGTGGTTCTTCTTCTTCTTCTTCTTCTTCTTCTTCTGGCGTTTTTATTGGTGGTTGGTAAACAACAAAATGGTGCATTACCGTCACCAACTGGTATGGAGTGTGGATCAAGAGTCTATAATGTCTACCTCAGTCCCAAAAAACAAACAAACAAAAAAAAACTTAGAATAACGTTTTCCACTGTCTCTGCCTGGCCACAAAAATCATAATTGCCTGTATCATGTTTTCCTATTCTAAATAGTCCTTTCCCTTCTTCTTCCCACTGCTTCTGCCACCTTTCCTTCATCCGCTGTTTGACGATACTTTTGATTTTTGACCTACTGAAATTAACAGCTATATCAATAGTATCATGTTTCGTGGCTTCCTTTGCTGTTTTGCCTGCTACCTCATTCCCAATTATCCTAATATGCGCTGGTACCCACAAAAATACTAAAACAAGCCCCATTCTTTGAATTCTATACGACACCTGTTGAATCTCTAGCAGAATTTCTGATCTACCCTCCGAATGTCCGCTATGTAAACTGTGCAAGGATGAACTTGAATCTGAACAGATGACGGTTCTTAGTGGTCTGACGTCCTCCGTCCAGTGTAAGGCTAAGTGTATCACCAACATTTCTCCTGTAAACACTGATAGCCCATCACTAAGCCTTCTCCCTATTTTAAAATGGAATTCAGGGATACTAAAAGCCACCCCCATTTTGTTATCTGAATCTCTTGATGCGTCTGTGTAGATCTGAATGTATAGTCGTGATGCCCGTCAATACAAACCTGTATCCTTTGAGAATCAAAACTAAATGTCTTGTCTCCCTTCTTTTCTAGTATTGAGAAATCAACTGTGGCATCAGGAAGGATCCATGGTTGTATTGCTGGTAATGGAATGGTTGGACTAATACTAAGTTGAGCCATTCCTAGTTCTGAGGTTTTCCGTTCCACTGTCCATCCAAAGCTTTTCACTCTCCTGTTCTCCTTCTCCCAGCAGGGTTTTAAGGTAACATGTGTTGGATGAGACTGGTCATGACCCTGTAAATTTGCCCAGTTGTTTACTAACAGTTGTATTCTTCTCAAGTCCAACAGCATTTCTCCCATTTCTACCTGCAATGCTGCAACTGAGGTTGTCTTAAACGCTCATCGTGTCTGCTGCCGACTCATATATTCATATCTTCACCTTGTCCGGTAGAACCAACTCCTTAAACTCCAGAAGCACAGACATGCTCTCCACTCTCCGGCCATTTTCTGTTCTCAGCAGCCATTTTATCTTGCTCATGTCGTCTCCATGAATACTTACTTGAGTTTGTGCAAATCCTCATCTACCGGAATACCTGTTATCACTCCTCGCGTAAATCCAGTTTCACCGATAACCCATCTGTCACATACAACTCTTTTACATATACTGTCAACATGCATAACCTTATTCCTCTGTTCTTCTGTTTTACACACTACAAACAAACTCCCATCTCTCAGAGTCTTAGCCAGTTCTACCTCTCCTACCTTTTTTTCAGTTCCCTAGATAATGCTATTGGACTGAAGCTAACAAGTTCATCTTCCGTTCTGAATTTCAAGACTATTTTGACTATTCAAGACTATTTTATGTCTTCCTTCCCAACCTTCCTACGAACAATCCTGTCCCCTTCACCTGAATCTCTTCTCAGCTCCTTTTACTATTCTGGCTAGCAGGCGGGATGTTTCTCTTACTTCCCCTTCCACCAAAAGCCAGAGTCCATTCACCAAAGTTCGTGTCATCATCCTCATCTACACCCTGTTCCGCCATCCTGATCCAGAAACACACCAGGTTATGCCAACCTCCTCTACCTTGATTACTCCACAAATCATCAGATAATGAGTTTTATTTTATTATTCCAGCAAACGCTTTCCGACGAACTCCGACTCCGGTTCAGCGCCGTCAACCCAACTCTGCTCCCACCCGCAGTACTAGTCAGAACACATGTGTGGACTCCCACAATACTACGTCTGTAGACGGCAGCTCTTCTGTAGTACTTCCGGCGGCCTTCCCGCAATGTTTTCTGGGAAATGGAGTTCATCCTTAACATGGCTGTCAGGTTACTTCATTCAATCTTCCGTTCATAAATTGTTTGTGTATTTTATCGTGTTGCCATAATCTGTGTCACACTAATGAAAACTGAACATCCCATCTGTATATCTCCTGCAGTAGGTGTCGACCACAATCTGTTATTGTAACATTATGTGTAGATTTTGTTAAATTATGCACATAATGCGCTTGTAAATATTGTTCCTGAAACTTGCAGTCCTTTGACGCAAGCATGGTGTTCTTTGGCCATCTCCAAGACAAGCTTTTGGAAGAGGGATGGATAATATTGGCAAAACGTAATTTCATGGATATAACTTTTACCTTTTAATCGAAGGAAAAAATGTTGTTTTCCGGTAAATACACCAAACACTAACAAACGCGGCTAAGAAAGAATTTCAGATTCAGTTTGCAAATCGTATAGACAGATTTATTTACAAAGTACCATATTACATGAAAGAAGATAATGTACAAGGGGCATGCTGCCGCAGGGAACAAAGCTAGTTTTTAGTTTTGCTGTTTCATGACCCTACAACGCCATTCTGCCAAAAGACATCAAGCAGAAAATCCAAACATCGAAGCAATTACTTAACTTACAGCAAGGCAATGCACCATCAGTAGCTTTGTGGTTAGTGTTACATAGCTGAGAGTTTATATCACTGATGACGAGGGGAACTACAACAAACCTGGATCTGCTTAGACAAGGCTAAATTTTCAAAGCTGATTAGTCTTTTTAAAAATTGACATTCCCGCTTTGGGTTACAACATTCAGTTAGACAAATGCCGGACATTTTTTTAGCTGTACGTTTTCACCTCTCAAACTGTTCCTAGTGCACAAGCGAAATAAGATGGTAATTAACAGTTTTTTGCACGTCTCTCCTCCAATCCGTTTTTAGGATGCAAGTTTATAAACAGGCACAAATCTCCCATTGATTGATGGGAATCTTTACCGTATTGCTGATGTTGTTGTTTCACATTTGCTCAGGGAGATGATAATCTGGATGTGATCATTCCTTCCCAACGTCATTCATGTATGGTAATCTCATCATCCCCAAACACTAGCATATTTTGATATCTGGTGTCTGAGCATTGCTTTTTCAAGATGAACGACAATCGATGTGGTACCTGGCTGTTCAGCTGTGTATTATATTTGGTGTTTCCATAAAAATAACAAGAGGAGTATGTAGTATTCAGTATCGCCGTGGCATTTCATGTTGCCATTTCATTTAGCTCATCAGAATCAATTCCAATAAAAATTCCCAGAACAACTGAAAAGAAACGACCCAAGCGTTGTTCGATCACATTCAATGCCTAAGCTGAAACACTTAAAGCAAATCTAAAAATGCAGCAAATTCACATTTCACAGTTTATTTCCTCTAGAGACTGAGCCTATAACCCCTGAATGGTCTATGTATTATTACTTTTTTCTAGTGCCTGTTGAGAAATCAGCATTTGGAAATTGCAGAAAGGGCAGTTGATTTACTTAGCGCTTGGGCCCGATCACATGACACAAACTCGACCTACGGACCCAAACACCTACGTTAGTGTTACTACTTCAGTGTTTCACACAGAAAGACACTTAACCTTTTGCACCATTGTTTTTTGTTTGCGGTTATAAAATCCAAATTATAAATAGTAATAAATAGAAATATTTCCATTACATAACACTGTAACATAACAGTTTAAAAATAAATTTCATACAACATTATAACTGTATATACAGACATTTGGACCTTTAGATTTAAAGTTTGTCAAAAGAAAAGTTAATACAATACATTTTAAGGCTTGGTAGTTCAGATTAACTTATTTAGACACTTTTTTAAATATGACAATGGTGACATTTTGTAAAGTCTTTGATAAAGATTTTGATTTATGTTATTCTATGTACCATGTTTACAAACAAAACAAGTTTTAGTTTTTGTTCTATGAAAGAAAACCGCTAAAAAATAAATCCAGGTTGAGATTTTTCTTCTTCAGACATTTCTTCTACACTGTCTATGTAACAAACAATGGACAACAGTAATATAATGACTAACATTGTCACTGAGTCCCTCTCACACACGGTTACTAAGAGCAAACAACAGAACACACTCCCTGACATGAAACGTGTAGATTATCTCGTCACATTTCAGACTGAAGTCCAGAAAAGCAGCTGGTGTACCCCCCCGAAGGCGTACTTCCAATAACAGTGATAAGGATCTCTCAGTGTCAGACTACATTCTGCAATGTTACATTCAATTACCCTTACTTACTTTTTTTTCTTTCATCTGCTTGTGGGACTCAAAGCAAACTATATAAAAAAAAATCGCCAAACATAAATGAACACAACTGTCATCAGAAACAAACAGGTTTAAAGGTTTTGTCTGTACCAGATGTATTATGGGTAATTATGAGCTTTCCTGATTTTCCCTGGGACTCATATGTCTTTAATTTAGTGCTGTTCTTTTCTTTAAATTAATAGCATCGTTAAAGCTCCTTAGCATAATATATTGACACTGCAGAGGAATTAGTAAAATATATCATACACGTGATTCAAAGTTTGTCTTTAAAGAGAGAGGGCTCTGTCAAATCAAGGTAACGGCGATACGCGAGTGTGTTCGCTCAGGTGTAACCAGGGCTCATAGCGTGTGTCCCATACTGCTGGTCACCAGGCCTTTTATGTTGGTGACTGGGCGCACGTCATTCAGCTGGCGTCGCCTGTCAACAAAGGAGGCCAGTCGGGTGGTGTCCAGGGGGTTCTTGGAGTGTTCTCCGGCATGGCCGCTCACCCACGGGTGCTGCAGGCAGCCTGTTGCACTGGGCCTTTTACGGGGATCTTCCTGGAGCACAGACGTGATAAAATCCCTGGCCGCCTGGCTAACACCCTGGAAGTACTCATCCGGGAAGCAGAAGTCCAGCCGGCAGATGTTGATACACGTCTCCTCCAGACTCTCATCCAGGAAGGGGGAAACCCCACTCAGCATGACATAAGCCAGCACCCCTATGCTCCACACGTCAGTGCTCAGGGACACTGGTGTCCCCCGGATCAGTTCAGGGGCGGCAAACTCTGGGTTTCCCAGAAGCAGGTGGACGTGGCGGTGTCCTGACACCTGGACAGCATCTCCGAAGTCAATGAGCTTGACGCATGGAACAGGCACGTGAAGATCCACCATGAGGTTCTCAGGCTGAGAACAGAAGATAATAAGTTTCCGTCAGATATATTGTATCCCTGACGCCTGATGCACAAGTATAATACATCATTTTTTTGTATGCTGTGTATCCAAGATAGTAACCATAAAATTATATTTTTAAATCAGATCCACCTCTCATGATAACCAAATGGTATATTACTACATGCAAAAAAAAAACTAATTATGCCACAAAATGAAGCACTGATATGTAGCATGTTTACCCATAAGTTCTGGTACTTTTGATATTTACCTTCAGATCCAAGTGCGCCACCTTGCAGGTGTGGAGATGTTGAAGTGCCTCAAAGGTGTCCTTCACGTACGAGGCCACCTTCTCCTCCATCAGCACGTCATGGGCTACCAGGTAGTCCAATAGCCGGCCATCCTCCAGGCTAGAAAAAAGACATATTTGACTTGGGCCGAGTCCCAATATGACCAAAATAGTGAGGGGGAGTCGTTTAGGAGGTGCGATGCTCACAGTTCCAGCACCAGCATGAAGGAGGTGGCTGACTCATAGGTGTCGCAGAGCACCGACAGCTGTGGGTGCTGCACGTGTCTGAGGATATCTGCCTCGTGGGCCACCTGCTCCTTCTTCTGCATCTTTTTGCTGATGAACTTCACAGCCACCTCTTTCTTGGTCGCCTTGTTCAGACACTTCTTCACCACTGAGAATCTGCCCCTGGAGGTGAACACTCTATACTCAGAATACTGGCTTTATTGTTCTGAGACTAGTGATGGCGAAATGAGGTTTCCTGAACCTCTTGCTATATTCTCTGACACCATTAGATGGTGCTCAGTGTTCAAAAAAGTGCCCAAAGGATGTCCCGAAGTAAACCAAGTGCGCCATCTTGTGGGGTAAAAAAAAACAGCAAATGGTTCATGAAGCTTCATTTAGCCATCATTACCTGAAACACATTAGAACTCTCGATAGCTCTTAAACCTTCGAATGCCGAATGAAGCGATCCAGATTCTACCTGCTTTCCCAGTATAACTATTTAAGTATGTAATAGTATGACATTATTACTGAAAGATGAACAAAAGATTACCTTCCAATCTCACTGATTTCTGAGAAGGTTACTTCAAAGTTGTCTTTCCACTGAATTCCAATGCCGTCATAGGTAGAATCTCCAATGAAAAAAAAAAGATTGAGCATTTTTGATTTGATAAACTGTTAATATCGACAATTTCTGCTTTGTTTGTTTTGGAACAAAATGAATAAAATGTAATAAATATTATTGCTCACTTCCGCTTGGCAGGGTCACCATGTTGGAGGGCTCGCTGGGTGGGCTCACTCCCCAGGGATTACTGGCACTGACCCGAAATTGGTAATGTCCTCCTGGGATGAGGTCCTCAATCTTCACACAGACATCTCTTGTGGACACTACGGATTGCTGCCACACCAGGGAGTCTGAGGAATACAAAGGTTACCACTGGAAAGAACCAAAAAGTCACCGAAATGGTGGATTGAAGTTTTCCAAAGACGAGAGAAAATGTTTTTTGAATGAGAATAAAATATTTGTTTTGTTATTTCAAAGTTACTTATTTCATAACTTTATCTAAAAAATAGAGGATGTACAACCTAGCTAACACACATTTTATTTAATGAGACGGTGTCTAGGTGCGGTAAGCGTTTACCTTCCTGCCGGTACTCCACGGTGTAGCTTGACACGGCACAGTTTCCTGAGCTTGCCGGTGGGAGCCAGTGCACGATCACAGCTGTACTGCTGGCCTCCTGAGCCACGGGACGTGCCGGGGCTGCTGGGATACCTGCGCACCGAGACGACGATTCTCCTTATATTATACATAAGCCTCTGGACCCTTCACCGCCCCCCTCGGTCTGGTACAGACTACCCACCTTGGACTTTAATGGAGGCTGAGGAGGACGCGGTCCCATGGTCGTTGACGGCAACGCAGGTGTAAATACCCGTATCTTGTGGCATCAAGTTACAGATTTTTAGGAGGATGTCTCCAGTATCCCTGGCAAGAGGGAGATAGAGGAAAGCAACTTTCTCATTTTTTTGCCTATGAATTTTATAATATAAGCTTAGAAGGGACACCTGTAAAAATGTATTGCCCCTTTAAAAAAAATATTCAAATGATTATCAATAAGTTTATTATACATAATTATGCAATTGAAAAAGTTTTGGATAAAGATATATAATGTGTTTTCACACTTATTATGCACAAGAGTAATTTAATTGTAGTTTATTAATTATTAATCATTAACGTTTATGCCTTGGTGTGCATTATTTATGCCTCAGAATCAGATTTTTTTCCCCCAAGGGAAATAAGTGAATCAGTGGGAAACTAATGGTTTTAATCGTCTTTTGCTTTCAAATGAATAAATCACGCTTGAGACGGGCTTTGAGGACTTCTGAAGCTCTGAGTTAGTAGCAATGTTTACATGACATAATTAGCGCAGCCTCTGGGATGGGCTGGCTGTGCTGAAGCGAGTGCTTTCATCTGTAATCCCTGTCCTCAGAAATCGTCTGTCTGTCTGTCAAACATCTCAGCTGCTTCTGTCTACCTGAACTCACATCTATGCATTAAAACAGCACCTCAGAAGAATAAGAGCCATCTTTGGGCAGCAAGGTGCAGACAATGTACCGTTCCCACTGAAGCCTGTAACAACCCTATCTCCTCGCTATAGCACCTCATATTCAATTCAAGTATATAATGTAATTATATGTAAATAAGAGCCCTCTAACTGCTACCAACTCACTATCCATAGGCAGTTCGCATATATATTTTAATCACCAATACAGCATTTTCACCAACTATAATCATTTGTATAGTTATTTTAAAACAGGGGTGGGGGACCTGATCCATGGAGGGCCGGTGCAGGTTTCTGGGATGACCTCTCAATCAGCCAATAATAAAGCAGTGGCTCTCAGCTCCAGTCCTGGGGACCCACTCTTATTGGCTGATTGAGAGGCCATCCCAAAAACCCGCACCTCTCTCCTTGGATCAGGTTCCCCACCCCTGTTTTAAAAGAATAAATTTACACACACACACACACACACAATAAAAAAAGCACGTTTTCTCTCTCATATATGAAGCAGAGTGGGCACTTTGTAATGGCCTTTTAGCTGTATTTTGCATTCAGCATGTCACAGTCCAGTCCACATCTGCTAGGCTTCACCGTAATGCACACAGGACACCTGGCCTGATACCTGATGTTTATAGTGAAACGACTGTTGTTGACGACGGGGTTCTGATCCGGGCCCTTCAGGGTGATGTTTGGTTTTGGACGGCCGCAGACTTTGCAGCAGAGCACCACAGTCTCGCCAAAGGCGCAGGTCACGTCCGCAAGCGGGATCAGGAACTCCGGGGCCACTTTCAACATAATACGAGCCAGAGAGCCTTTCAGATTGCAGACGGATCTGCTTCTAGCGCCACATTTCTGCTGCAGACTGCTTTCATTTCAGTCAAGCTGATTTTTGAAGATTCCATTAAGATTACTGGGTGTCAAAGTTTTTTTTTTTTTTAAAAAGCCTTAATAGTCCACAAACTTACCTTCTTGGATAAAATTGGGATTCAGTAACTGTAAAAACAAATAAATAGTGTTATTGTTTTTACGGCAGCAGGTTAAATCAAGAAGACCTTTGCCAAAAAATATATCCAGGTGTTCTGAAAAAAAAAGCAACATAGGAAAAATAGTGTATGTATATATACACACACACAAACATTTTTTTTTTCAAAAAACACATTCTTTTGTAGGAAACAGGATATGGGCAAGAGAACATAAACAGTTGAAGATAATGGAAAATAAAAACCATGAGCACCGCATAGCGGGTTGCTGTGTGTTTTGTGTGTCTCTGGAGCTCCTGCGGAGTTAGATGCTGAAGACTAGGCAGTTGCACCTCCAAATCAGTCACTGGCTTTACTCCAGTAAGGCTGTTAAAATATTAACAACTTTTGTGTTTTTGTGCACTTCGCACAGATAGAGCCAGACTGGAGATGAGGACATATATCTGTTACATATCTTGGTCTCAATGCCCACCCCCCCCACAAAGCACACTTTTGTGTCTAAAAGATCATGCAGATAAGATCCCATTTCAGAGACGACGATGAAACGTTGCTGGGCCTAATGTCAGTGCATCAATTATTTAAACTGGGCTGCGGAGGTCATGTTCCCATTTGTTGTTGTGTATTGATGTTACTAATAAGTGTCTATTGAGGAACCTCCACATGCATCTGTGGTCTGCAGAGAGCAATTGCTTTCCCAGTATAGGAGATGTTCAGTCCAATAATGAGACTGAACTAATAATGTCCATTTTTTATACAAGGCACTCAAATACATCCTAATCGACAACATTAATGCAAACTAAGTGGGCAGGGGCAGCTTTAAAGCATCAGAAATATCAACTGCGTGACAGCAACTCCACAATTTTGATAACTTTAGTAAAACCTATTTAAAATCAAAATAATTCCGTAGGCTCCTCTTAGACAGACTTTTTCCTATAAATACTTCAATAAAATTTTTCCACATTTGATTCTCCAACTGCCACAACTGGAGAAGCGCAGATATTTAAAAACGTCCAATTCCAACACATATCACACAACAAAAAGAAATTTCTCTTCAAAGCAGCTAAAAATAGCCTGTAGCTCATAAATGATGCAAAGCTTAGGAAAGCAGGATTTTCTAACTAGATCAGGAAATCCCCAAAGAACCTCGGGCTTTGTGCAGTATTATTGCATTTAGCCTCCTAAAGTATTGACTGAAATTAACTTTCTAGTAGTGGCGCAAGTCGACAGGGTTCAGTGCATTGAGAAAAGATCTGTCAATAAAGTTCAGAGCCGAGAATAATATAAAGTACTGTGGGAATACTAGATAAAGAGCTATACATCACAGCAATGAAGTATTCGGGTGACCAGATAATCAATGTCATTCTGTACTCTTTGAATTATGACAGGATTTGCAAGCTACCATTTCAGTTAAAAGGACCTGGATTTCACTGAAGCATGGAGTTCTTGCTGTGTGCTGATTGGTCAGTCTCCTACAATCATGGGTGTTTTACAAATGCTAATGTGAAACAGGCAGATGAGCCTTTCAATCAAGGAACCAAACCAGTCAATGCACAAGATGAACTGAAGAATCCAGCGAAGCACAGGAACCTTTCAGTTTTCAAGTAGTCTGTAAATTCTGAAGTGTCTGGGATGACGTGAATTATCTGGTCACCGTACAGCAATGTACAGCATGGTATTTATATGGTATTATTAACAATGCACACTAGAACAGGTGGCAGATAATCTTCTCATGGTCTTTCTACAGCTTCTCAGAAAAAGTTCAGTAATAAAAGCATAAATACCTAAAATTGTCTTCCTTCGGTTTCACATCCGGTGATGAAGAGGACATTTGAACTCACGTCTTTTTTGGTTTTTAATAGGTTTTTTAGGGGCCAAAACAGAGACAATCAAAGTCTTATATTATTCCCTAATTGTCAGTTGGTGGACGTGTCTCAAAGGTGACTGGCTTCCTCATCATTTATGTTCAATATTCATATCTTATCATTTTATTACAAAAACCAACAGTACCAGGTTAAGTTGCCCACCTCAACAATACCTAACGGTAACACAAATTTGAATCTTAAACAACATTATCCACCATCCAAATGTTTAATAGTGTTGTAACTAGTCCAGAATCTGATCCTTCAGGGTGATGTGGGATTTTAGAGTAAAACTCCTTTGACACCTGTGTTCCCAGGGCAATTTAGGGGCTGAAAATTTGCTGCTTGAGTGTAGACTCATTGTGCCACTCCAGTCGGTGGACTTGCCTCTCTGTCACCAAAATATGTGGTTTACATGTTCTCTTCGTGAGCGACCATCCAGCAAATGTTCCTGCAAAGCCCATTTATTGCAGGTCGCCAGGAAAACACTGATCTGTACAGCAGGGATGTCCATGACTATCACGTTTGGTGCAGATGCTGTAATACGGGGGAGTATCAACGTAACACAGAACACGGGAAACTGGGGCTCTATTCCAGGCTAGAGCTGAAGAGCGAAGACCCTGTTAGCGGTGAAACTAAAGACACTAAAGGACACACTTGCACAAGCAGCATGCACAATAAGATGGTATATAGTAATACCTCCATGCTAGTTTTTGGGTCTAGCTCATCGCAATCTGACTCTTCTGAGCTGTTAGATTCCTGCAGTATGGAACGAGAAAAAGCAGAATTAGATTTGTTATGGCAGCCCGATGGTTCTCCAAGCAGGGGGTTAGAGGTCACCAGGGAAGCGGTGAGGTATGCACATCGTGTAACACTTCTGAAGGCCATGACCAGCAATTTGGAATAAAGTCCTCTTTTTCTCAAACTTCTGCACTGTCAAACTAGAGGCTTGCTTGGCAGTTGTGTAACTGAGATAGTGTTCCAGTGTTATCAGGAGTCCCGAGCGTGACGAGTCGAATTAATCACGTCACACATGTCAGCGTGGGTGCCGAAGGGCCACAGATACCCTGGCAGATCCAGGGGCCCCAGCACTTCACAAGGGCCCATGAATACATAAAATTGGACGAGGGGGGGAAGGTGACATTTTGTCAGGGGGCCCAGAATTTATAGGTACACCCCTTCATACGAGGGTGTGAACTTTCCTCAGCTTGGTATGGTTGTATAGTTCATTCTGGTTAGAATTAGTAGAGAAGCAAAACAGAACTAGGTTAAATATATCTCAGAAAAACATTTCTCATTATTTCTTGAAAAAAAATTCAGAAACTTAATTTAGCTCTAGTTATATTAAGATGATTTGCTGCTAGTCATATCAGCATGGCAATTTTTGTATGCCTGGGATCATACAGCATTGAAATAAGGCCAGATAGTTATAGAAATGAAAAAGGGAATTCTGGGTGGGCTGGACTGCTAATGAACTTTGTACTGTGATTAAGACTGAGGTTTGAGTTGGTGACTTTAGCAAGAACTTCTACAGTGTGGTACTCTTAATTCTCAGAATTTATATACAACGTGTAAATTATCAATGATGTTTATGTACTAACAGTGCTTATCACTAGTTTAGTATCAGTAGTGTGATTAGAATAGTCTTCATCTCACACTCATGTTAAAACTGTCCTCTAACACGCTGCTGAAATGACAACATTCTGCATAATTTACATCAGAATAAATGCAGAGTGGAGGCAGAATAACGGAAATACAATGTTTTTTTCCAATTACCTGAATGCTGTTAGTTCCAAGCTAACATTTGACAATAACAAAAAAAACTTGTAGTATTAAGGACAGCAAAAATGGGGCTTGTTAGTTGCATGCACACAAACAGGGAAACAGAAAATAAAAAAGTAAAAATAAAGCTTTATTTGGGGTGTTTTTTGACTACATTGTCTGGGTCTTGTGCACAGATGGTGGGGGAGGGGGGTTGGGTCTTCATCGCCTGCTTACTCACTTTAACAGAGACCTTGCCGCTCACAGCTTCCTTGGGTTTACGGAGTCCGTTCTCACCCTTTGCGTCACCTTTTTCTCCTCGCTTTCTCATGCGCAGCGTGTGCCACGAAAGCGATTTCCTGTCGTGCCAAAAGACGCATCGGTCAAATCGGGGAGGGGGGGGGGGGGGGGGGGGAGGGGGCGGCATGGAGGCACAGCGAAAGAGTGAAGGCCTGCTGGCAGCTTTTTAGGGGGCTGACGGCAAAGTGGCGTAAAGGGGAATTCAAATCCGTGATTGAAAAATGAAAGAAAAACAAAAAAATGCAAAAAGCCGTCCCTGGCCTCCGGCTGCTCTGGAGGCTCAAAATCAAAGAAGAAGAATCCGAAGAAATTGGACTTTGTAAGAAATTTAGGAGATTAGCAAAAAGATACAAAAACACTGAAAAGGGCAAACTGAGTAAAAAGTGCACCACTTCACGCAGATTTGTTACATGTCCGGAGTTTCCTAATGTGCTTACTCTAATGTCAGAGAGGATGTTCAACTTGTGTAAAATAGCAATTCCTTCACATTCATTCATGCCTGTCACAACAGCACGCTTTAGTTTTCTGTAGAGAGCCAGTGCGGACAGAAGAACTAAGTAAACAATAAAACAAAACACAACAAACTTTTCTAAATTCCCACGGGATAAATAAAAATAAGTAAAACATATAAAAAAAACAAAACAAAATGCCAGGTGTTTTGTTAAAAATAACAAACGATACATACACCTCCATGTTTCCAAGAAGAGAAATGATCAACTTTAATACGGCAAATCATTGACTAAAACTGATAATCAGCAACAATGAGACGTTATATATCACTTCTTAATAACTTAATGTGAGGGGGAAATGTCATCTGCAACAGTATTTCTAAACAGCACAAATACTGCAGATACAAATGTGAAAGAGTTTTAATTTGAACAGCTACCTAATAGGAACCAACTACTCCAGAATGTTCTGAAGCATCTTATATTACTAAGTTTGTATATTCAATCTGAGCGAGAAGCTGATATAATTTACCACCTATATCTAAGGTTGAAAAGCTTACAGCATCAGTCTAAACTGTGGCAATACTTACCACAACTGATAATGTAAATGTTTTTCTTTTTCTGGAGCTAAAGTTTAACTTTCTTTGATTTGTTAAATCATGCTCATGTCAAAATTTATTTCACATATTTAAAACACATTTAAAATTATTAGTTACATTACAAGTACAATGTTGAACATTGCAACTATCATTATATTGCACAACCTGACTTCATTAATATGGGTTTTCTTTTTAAATAGTGCAAAATACTTTATACAGGAATGTACTAGAAAGAGTATCAGTAAATAAAGGGATAACGTTCTTTTTTTACAGTAAACTGTCAACTTATCAGAAAATGGAAAATTAAGATATAAAATAAAACAAACTTAAAAACAAAATCAAATACAAGCTGTACAAACAATTGCCATAGACAATAACATAACGCTTCTCTCCATTTGGAGAAATAGACCTCAGTTGATTTTAAGGCTATTTTTTTTTTACCAAATGTGTAAATAAACAAAACTGTGTTAGAAATGAAAGAAGTAAAATTAACATCCAGCTCAGTCAGTTTCACGTTGCATGATGCAAAACAACTTTTCTCTCAATTTATGCTCGAGACAAGTCACGGATGCTCTAAAGTTCTTGTATTTTTTTTTTTTATTAATTATTTCTTTTTACATATATTACATGAAGAGATGTCAGACAAGACTTCTCCTGTGTACAGATCCAGCATTTACGAGTTTGTTCCAAAGGGTCGTGAGTGTGGAGGGATGTGACGTGACTCAGCCTGCCCCACCCCCCCATCCTCACCAGCGTTCTCACTTTGCCATACAATCCAACCAGAGCTCCAGAGTGGAGGGTCGAACACTTACTTGAGGCTTCCTTCAGCACTGTCTAAGAGAGCTCGACTGAGGGGGCCCAAGATGTGTCCTGGAACCCAGCCCTCGGCGGCTGGGGACTGGCTGTTGGCCGGCCGGTACACCAGGTACATGTTCTGCTGGTTTGTGGCCAGGACCTGCACCATTTCACCCTGGGAGACACAGATCTCGTTCTCCTTCAGTGCGCTGTAGTCCTGGATCACCACCATAGAGGAGGACATCCCATTACATCCAGCCACGTCGTGCTGCTTCGAGGAG